TTCATATAATTAGTATAGATATTTGTATAGACAAGTTTTGGCAGCCCTTATGATAGCGTATGCGCCGCTGCCGCCATGTGCGGACACAATAGCCGCATTCTCATGGACTCAGCCGAGGTAAGCTGATTGCGTGACGTCATCGCCCGGGGACCCTGCACATTGATGCAATTACGAAACAATGCTACGGTTTTATTCTGAATGCGATTACAAGAATACTATGTTAAAATAGTTTGTATGGAAAGTCGTTTAAATGATAGTAAAAGGTTACAAAAACTCTTGAATGATTGCTGGATAAAAAACCTGGCGTCAGATAGGTGCCAACCTTTTTTCTTACTATAGGTATATCGTCTAAATTAAAATTACTTAATTATCAATCAAAAACTAAACGGTCACTAATAGTAATAACACACTTAATTCTAGATTGGATAGATTAGAATAAAGGATTATGGATTTTACCAAGAATAGTTTTATCAGAAATCCTCGTTTGAATTTTCACTGGTCAAAGTCAAAGTCAAAGTCAAAATAATCTTTATTCAAATAGACTTCTTAAAATTACTTTTGAATCGTCCAACATTTTTTCCCTACCACTCGTTCAGGACGTCTTTTGGCTGATAAGAAGAACGAGCAAGAAACTCACCAGCTCTAATAAGAGTAATGACATTTACAAAAACCATGTCATTACCAGATCAATACATTATAAACAGAGATGGAAAAAAAGCTATGGTCTTATAATAATAACATAATCATTTAATAATATTTAATGGAAACAAGATAATGAGTTTAGAAGTAATCACCTATCCAGTTGCTGGATCATCTTAAGTCCAAGCGTTCTTATCTGTTATATAATCGGATACCTTATAATAAGCTTTTTTGATAAGTATTTTTTAATAGTAGATTTAAACTGCATGATATCTAATTGTTGTATTTTGCTTGGGACCTTATTGTAGAAGCGCACACAAAGACCCTTGAATGAGTTATTAACTTTTTGCAGTCTAGTGACAGGCACCGTTAATTTATTTTTATTTCTTGTATTAAAATTGTGTACATCACTTTTTATAGAAAACAAACTAATATTTTTACGAACGTACATTAAGTTCTCGTATATGTATTGAGAAGCAACAGTCATAATGTCTATTTCCTTAAATTTCTCCCTTAAAGAGTCCCTAATCCTAAGATTATAAATTGATCGAATTGCTCTTTTCTGAAGCACAAAAATTGTTTGTATGTCGGCAGCATTTCCCCACAATAGGATACCGTACGACATAACACTATGAAAGTAACTGAAGTATACTAATCTGGCAGTATCTATGTCAGTTAACCTACGTATCTTCATAACGGCATATGCTGCAGAGCTAAGTCTACTCGACAATCTATCAATATGTGGGCCCCACTGTAGTTTAGAATCTAATGTTATTCCTAAAAATACTGTGGTATCCACAAGGCCCATGTTCTTATCTTTTATATTAACATTTATATCTACTTTTTTAACATTTGGTAGTACAAATTTTAAGCATTTTGTTTTACCTTCATTAAGGAGAAGATTATTTACATTAAACCAATGTACTACTTTAGCGATAGAATTGTTCACATCGTCATTTAGAGGTAACCCTCTTTTAATTTTAAGCAAGAGTGAAGGTTATCCGCTAACAAAACTATTTCGTGATCATCCCTTACGAAAAAAGGCGTCATTTATGTAAATCAAAAACAAGAAAGGACCAAGTATTGAGCCCTGCGGAACGCCCATCTTAATATTCGATCCAGGGGATCTTTTGCCATTGATATCAACTCTCTGTACTCTGTCAGTCAAGTATGAGACAGTAAAATCCAATGAGTTATCTCTAAATCCATAAAAATGCAGTTTCCTAATCAATGTTTCATGAAAAACATTATCAAATGCCTTAGATAGGTCACAGAAAACACCTAACGCATCATGTGAATCCTCCCAGGCATTAAAAATTTCTTGTATTAACTCGACACCGGCTTCGGTTGTCGAGCGACCCCGAGTCGAGTTTCACAAAGAGATTTCTTTTTATTGCCTTTGATATAAAAAATATTAATTGAATAATGATAGTTTTTAATTTTGATTTTTTTTTCTTTATCCAATAGATACTGAGTGAGAAAATACTTTAGCAATGCGATCAGCTCACTTATGTACCTACCAAGTACATCGCCTTTCTTGATCTTGATACGGGGCGCTAGTAAGTAGGTGCCTCGATAATTAGGTCACCGGAAGCTTTCATCAACAATCACTTGTTGCGAATTTGGCTAGGTTTCATGAAATAGATTTTTTTATAGGTGGCAGCACTTACAACGTAAAAACATATGTTTTGTTTTGCACGATGGTGCGTTTTGGTTGTTTGCCTAAGCATTGCATTATAGAAACAAAATGATAATAGATTAAAACCAATGCTTTGTGCTAATTTGTAATATTACGGCTAATGAATAATACGGAACAGATACCAAAATAACATTTTCAGTGAATATTTGAAAAGAAAAACGATATTGAAAAATGTGAGAATTAATTAATTAAAAAAGGAAAATTTGCAGTTAAAAGGTGCATGTGTTTCATTAATAAAATTATATCGTTTAAGTGACAAAGATTATATTGACACAAATATTGAATAATAAATAGGTTTTGCGTTTAAAAATAGTTTTTTTTTAAGATTTAAAGATAAAACGACGAAACTCGAACGTGAAATATTTCCTGTAGGTAATAGCGAACTCCCATAAAAAGGTATATTTGTTTTCCCCAATTTTACGAATTTTCGAACATCTTTAATATTTAAGTATTTATTCTTCAACCCGAAATGACACAATAGCGTCTACAGTGGAGAAGATGAATTAAGAGGGCGAAACCCAAGCGAAATGGGACCTAACAGCACGTAGAAGAAGACTTAACTGTTTTTTGCAAAGCACTCCCTAAATTTTAATTAGTATAAATCAAAGAACATGTAAAATATTATCGAAATTTTTAAAGCATTTGAAAAGTCAAAATAAGTCAGTGTCTGCAAATGTCAGCTGTGGCTTCGCTAGGTAACGTGCATCTGAAATGTCAAAATTTCCCTAACTTTGGCGCATTAATTAGGCTGAAATTATCAGATTGCATGAGTTACGTTTAGCTTTATGGCTTATTCGTTGTAAATTCAAGTTCAATGTAATTTATTCAATTTAGGCTGTTACAAGCATTTGTTGTCAACCTGCAATCCCCAAGAAATTGTCTAACACAGAAAAAGTCTACCTATAGTTTGGCTTTTATGATCATTATCATATTCTCACGGGAAGCGGCGATGTTTACATGATCGCACAGTTCCATAACGTCAGTTTGTTGGTAGGGTTATTCACTGAACCACAATTTTATCCACCACTGTGAATAGTGCTCTCGGTAAGACGAAGCGTGTTGTACTTACATTGTATGAACAGAACATCAATTTTGATAAAATAATTTTATTACTTTCATGTATTTTGAGTGTTATATTTGTCCATAACTAGAGTAGCCAATTAAAGCAGGTTTTCTTAGTAAGACATTCGTAATTAGCATCCACTTATTTTATCAATTTACAAAGTTTGAAGTCCATATGAAACGATATACCTAAGTAAGCAACGATAATAGATCATAATTACGTCAGCTCTTTTTTTTTTGTTTATTTGGGTTAACAAACACTTTCACAATGAATCTTAATAGCTAAGTATATAAGTTATATTTAAGAATAATTAATTGTGAAACCAACACCGTCAACCACGGGTAGATTTCAGAAGTTGAGAGTTAAACAAATGAATAGAAAAGAAAAGTGATGTACTCATACTTAAGTGAGATGCCCAATGCTCTTATAATACGTACTAAATAAATACAATACTAAAAGTCGAGTGCTGTAGGAAATAAATGCAAATAAAATTTTGTTGATTTCTCGAGAACGGAGTTTCTTTGAAACGAAACACTCTTAAAAGTTTTTCCGACAAAACATTTATAGAATCAAGTGTTTCCGAACAAAGTCACAATTTTGTAAAATTTGATTTGTAATTTTCTTATTCATAAAATTAGATTAAATGCTGTATAAATATATCTATTTATGAATATAAAATAAAATATGATAATTATTTTCCAATATTTTTCCAACTTATGAAAACATAAGCAAACACATTCATCTCAAATTGAAATAAATCTGTTTGCTATATATATATAAGTACTTACAAACTATTTTCATTAATAGAGCAATTTTACCGATTCAGATAAAACTATGAAGTCACGTAGCGTAAAATATTTTTAGCCGCTTTAAGTTTTCTAGATTTGGTACAATAATTTGTAGGTACTTATTAGCAAAGTAGGTAGGAATTTAAAAAGTAAGATTTACCAGCAATCCGTTGAACTGGCTGTAGAGCAAGTAATTAATTATTAAGTTGTACCTCAGTAGGTGGTAAACATCGCTTTGGTTTTTATCAAAAGGAGGCTCATCAACTCATCATACACTGTTTGTCGATCTTACTAGTTGGTTTTTACCTGTAATTGGATTTGTACAAACAAAGATAAAAATAACATACCTACCTAATGGATCTTCTCCTTGAGAATATCATTTTTTCGAGGTAAAATATCTCAAGTCACTGTCAAATTTATAGAGTAACAAGGAAGTGAACATTGACAGATAACAGCTATCAACGATATTAATTTATATTTTGAAACCGTTCATGGTAAAATAATTTATATATTTACATTTATTTACATGGATGACCAACAGCTAAAAGTTACAATATAAAAATCTTAACTAAAACAGACAGCCACTTACAGGTCGTCACAGATAGACATAGTATAAAAGTAAGAAAGACCTTTCACGATCACGACAATGGTATAGCTACGCTGCTTACACTATAATTAAATTTATAACACTAAAAACTTTAAAAAAAATTGGCTACCTATAATTCGCCTAATTGACGCTTCGTTAGTGTTAAAAAGTCGACATTTATTCGCTTTGATAGTTAACTAAATCTATTGCACGCACGCCACAGAAATGAATTCTGACGAAATTTTGAAGAAGCAGGGGGTAAATATAATAAAGGGTTGAACCTTAGCTGTTTTTATGGGGCCCTAAGACTGATAATTTTATTACTTTAAAGCCTATATATTAGTTAGAACGCCTTGAAGTGCCATATGACCAAAATAGAATCTGTGGGCAAAACTGCGTCTTCTGCCCTAATATTAGTATGGATTGTCTTTTCAACAGCTGTGCAACACGAACGTGGACCGCGTAAGCCGAAGTTGCATGCTGGCGCGCTGAGCTCGCTGCCGCCCCCGTCGCTGGCTCATGCACACAAACCGCATCCTCTAAAACTATCACCTCCATCGCCCTTTGCACCAATGCAGCCATTCAATTTCCAGGTAAATTCTACAATATCAATAATATATCCTTTATTTCATATAGAACACATTTAAAAGAAAGCAAAACGTCGGTATACAAAAATATATCATTTGTGAAAATTTGAACGGTTCATGAGATACAGCCTGGTGACAGACAGACAGAGAGCAAAGTCTTAGTAATAGGGTTCCCGTTTTACACTTTGGGTACGGAACTCTATAAAAGCGGCTTAATATATTGCTATGCAGTAATCTCTGCCAGGCTACCATTAGTGATACAAAAAAAAAGATAAATAATAATGATGTAGGGGATGTGCAATGGCGACAGTAACATTAAATAGATATATCTAAACAGGAAAATAAATATTTATACGAAATAATGAGTTGAAACTAAAAGAAAAAGAAAGCTCTTCATTTCTGCGACGAAGGATCTTAAAGTGTGGGCTTTTCTAATAGTTTCTTGTAAGGAGTTCTATCTTTTTCCGAGAAATCAAACAAGAGTCCTATTCCAAGAAATTAATTATATTTTTTAGTATTCCATTTTGTTGCAAACAAATAGCAGCAGTCTTAGTGACTTTTTATGAGGTGAAAGACTCTTGCTACTCAAGTACCTCAATAATAGATGGTATCATGCCTTTATTGACTCCCTTAACCCTTAACGTTTTGGCTTTAGCCTAAAGTCATTTTTCTCGGAAACACTTAAACAACATCTCACTGGAAAAAAGTAACGTTTGGTGTAAAACGTTTCTCTATATTGTCGTGCTGCGCGTGCTGATTGTGATGACAACTGTCAAAGATAATTGACATCTATAGTTCAGCATAAGCGGTTCAAGTGAACAAGCCCCGCTGAGCACAGCATCCTCAGCCGGTTCCAGCGGCGCTGGCGGCGCGGGCGCTGTCAGTCCCCTACCACTAGTTCCAGAACCATTTTTGGCACCACCGCCACCAGGCCTCCTACACATACTCATGTCGACAGATAAATGTCAGGTAAATATTTTTATATACACATGTCATTCGTACTGTGTTAGATGTACCAAATGCGTTGTCCATACTGTAAAATTTAAGTCATGACAAGTTTAAGCAATAATTAAAAATATTTGTTTCTAGTGCATTTTTTTTCCTTTAATAAAAAAACACCCGGTAAAACTCCATGCTTCCTTTTCAAAGAGGTTTAATTAAAATCGAATGTTTCCGATTGTGAGTTTGTAATATTATTCTAGGTTATCCTATGCCGTCCCATAATATAGAGCTTATATAATTGGGTGATATCAGTGTATGTTACAGTACAGACACAACACCAAATTTAATTACCTGTTTAGTGAACGTAATAATCACATTTACTTTTATTACAAAAAGGAACTTATGTGGAGTGCAAAACAACTGCAGTTACAAGGAGACCCTACTCTACTAAGACCGCCTCCGAGCGCTTTCGGGGCACCATTGGCGCCTACTTGGGAATTACTGCAGGTAAAATTTTGTTCTTTTTATTGTATTTCGAGTCGTGTGAGTAAAGTTTGCGCACCAGGTTGTAATTTAAAAATATACCTTATATTATTAAAAATAATGCTTTTTCTTATTAAAAAATTATAATATAACGAACTTACTCACTTAAAGAAGTGGGAAATAAGAATACTTATCATAAAAACGGCTTAATTACTCAGGAAACTGCTGCAGAAATTGGGTTAGCCTTTAATATTTAATGATACTATTTTTTTATATGTACAATACAATACTACGTCCGAATATCTGGCTCACATGTAATTAACCCTAAAATAGCTATCGCGTAAAAACATTCGTCGCCGTCGAACATATCATAACCTCATTTTTTTGATTTTTTTCGAAATGTTTGTATATAGACTGTATGAACAATAGAATTCTTTGGTTAAAACTAGCATTTTATAAATGCCAGTTGAATGTTTGTATATAGACTGTATGAACAATAGAATTCTTTGGTTAAAACTAGCATTTTATAATTGCCAGTTGAATTAAGAACACTATTCCTACTTACGAGAGTGGTGTTACGCCTACTTTATATTTTCAGATTCTTTTATTTATTCCGTAGGCGGAATAGTAGAAACTCATGGGTGTGTACATGGCATCTAGTAGGTGGCTTTTTGACTTGAGGGGCGGTACGCGTTCGCGATTGGACAACGAGGGGTGACTTCTCGCCTTACTCGACTTACCCCGCCCATTGTTACGAATGAACGTTGTATATAATGTAACAAGGCAACAATTGTATTAGCCTAAAATACGTCATCACATCGCGAGTATTATGTACCAACTTTCTCAAAAAAGGAATAAGTTCTTTGTTTGTCTTTTAGTTTTTTATTCTCATTTTATACCTACATAGATTTGTGATTGTAACAAAACGTCAGGTTATACAAATCTATCAAATCGATTTGATTTAAAACCTTGACGTTTTGTAGGTAAAATTTAAATCCAACAGAGGAATATTAATAAATTGTAGTAAATTAACGTGCTTACCTAACAACCATTACTAAAATTTGTTTTGTTTTTTTCCTGTTTTCTCGCAAATGTATTAAAAAACGTCGTACGATATACGTGCGTATTGGTTATAACATGCTCGGCTCAATTACGCCCTCGCCTGCGGCTCGGGCTGAAATTCCGCCTCGCACGTTATAACCATCATAACGCACTAATATCGTAATGTACTATAATGCAATTTTTTGCTAATAATATTGGTTAATAAGTAGACACAATAGTATATTTTATACAAATGTTCGATGTCCCTGCACCGCTAGTAAAATCTTCTGTTGTAGTTTCTAAAAAAAACTCTAAAACAGCCCTACGATTTTGTAAAATTCCAAACCCGAATTCGAAATCACTCAGGTGTCCGGTGTCAAATTTCTTTTAGTGTTATTATATATATTATTTTTTTGTTTTTTTTTTCAAAAATAGAACCGATTTGATACTTTAAAAATGTGAGAACTTATCTTAAATTATTTAAGAAACTGCTATTGAAGATTATTAAGTACAAGTAATTATATGATAACCGCCCGATTTCGATGGTTGAAGGTTTTTAAAAAGGAGGAGTAACCTTAATACCAGGTTTAAACCGTTATCTGACGAAAATAAGTCAACACGACTCAATTTGGCGTTTATTCTTTAATTATTGTCAATCTCCTATCGGCCAATAGGTTAAACCTGGAGTTGAAAATGTTTACGATATCTAGCATTAGACACAATGATCAACTAGACTTTAATATTTTGTATGTAAATATCGATATATAACTTCAGTTCCATTTTATATTATTTCGCAGGAAACGAGTGCTCGGCTACTTTTCATGGCAGTCCGTTGGGTGAGATGCTTGGCACCATTTCAGGCACTTGCCCATAACGACCAGCTAGTACTGTTACGTGCTGCGTGGAAGGACCTGTTTTTATTGCATCTGGCTCAATGGTCCGCGCCTTGGGACCTGGGACCGCTTCTCGCAGCGCCCAATGCAAGAGCACGATTACCACCTGATCCTCTGGCTGACCTAGAATTAAATACTTTACAGGTACGTGTATCTGAATTTTCTGGGTGCTATCGTAGATACATATTTGAAATGTTAAATCTAAAGTAATTAAAACGCAGACAACTTTAAAAAGAAAATTTCTAGTGTTTTATTTTAAAGGCCATACGGATTGCAGGTTTTGGATTCTATTTTCGGTTGTTGATAAAGGGAGATTTTTATCTGTTTCTTTAAAACGAAATTTCCTCAAATATTCATTTTTGATGATTGGCATATGTATTTTCTAAGCGCTATACAAATCCACGTTCTTAAACATTTTTTTATTAGTAACGCAAGAAACATAATACCTGTCTCCGTTTCAGAGAGTACAAAGTAATTTAAAATACAACTAAAATAACATTCCCATTCCGATATTATGCAAAATTTCGTTATCGGAGAAAAGAACCTGGACTTTTGTAGCCTACAAAAAAATAATTCCTTTCAATTTTTACTTTTTTTAAATTTTTATTTTTTTAATGAAGTTAACGTTATTCAAGTTCTAGCTCAAGCTGCTCTAGGTCAGTCCCATTGTGCAGTTTTACAATTATGTATGTATATACGTATACCTAAATAATATTAATTTTTATCATCAGGAAATTTTGTGCCGGTTTCGTCAAATAGCACCGGATGGCAGTGAATGTGGCTGCATGAAGGCTATAGTCCTATTTTCACCAGGTTAGTAATATAGGCGGTACCAGTTTTTTTGACGAGAATTTTCGAAACGAGAATTTCCTGGAAATCTGACTCTGAAATTTATATTTTATATATAAGTACCTACTTATATCATAAACTACATACTACCTTGTAGAAATATTTTAACGTTGTTATAGATAGAATGATATTTTAAGCATTCACATTTAAAGAATATAGATGAAATATTTTCGTATAATTTTTAGAATGCCCGGTAACATTCTAGTTTCGTGAAAAAATTCCTAAATGAAATTTAAAAACCTAAAAATGCCAAGTAACATTCAAGCTCAAACACTAACAAAAACAACAGTATGTATATGTACAGTCAACAGCACGTCAGGCTCAAAATCTCCACTTGATTTTTTTTATATTTTATTTTCATATAAATCATCATTTTATTTCGCTAGATACACCTGGATTAAGCGAAACACAACCAGTTGAAATGTTACAAGACCAGGCACAATGTATACTGGCTGACTACGTTCGGACTAGGTATACAAGGCAACCCACCAGGTAATCTATACATAGTATAAAGTCACTTCACGCATACTGATGAAAACCGCATATAAATTTTCCTCTTGAATCAGTCATATTATCTATGCTCTGTATATTGACAATATACAGTGATTTGAGGGGAAGGTTTATATATATATATATATATATATACTATACTAAAGGAACACTTAGGCGAAGCGACTGGCGGAAAGCTAGTATTAATATTATGTACCTATTATTAGTAACCCATTCGTACTACCTTTTTGCTTTCAGTAACGGTCACAAATTATAGCCAATGTCACTGGCATTATGTAGCTTCCTGTAGGTGAAAGAATTTTAAAAAACGGTCGAATTGTTTTGGTGCCTATTCCCTACAAACAATCAAATCTTTTCTCTTTATGACTTCCTAATTTTATGGTGAAATAGAACCGTATACTTTCACTATAATTTCATCAAAATCCGTCCAGTCGTTTCTTCGTAAAAGAGTAACAAACATATATAGTGAGAATGGCCTCACAAACTTTCGCATTTATGATATAAGTAGGATTAGTATACAGTAGACTAGAGTAGACGTCAAATAATTGGAAGAAACAATTTGTATAGGAAAAGAAATATTGTTTTTAATAAACTCGCAACTTTTTTTTTCTCCAATTGGACCTTACGATTTTACGAATGATTGCTGGATTGGTATAACCTATCCTGAATTTTATTTTGCGCTTAGCGATCCGTACCTGAAAAAGAGAAAAACGGAATGCTATAGCGTCTGTCCGTCAGTCAGTCATATCTAATTTGTTTTACTAAAATAAAATTTGGCGTCCACTTCCAATGACGGACCGGAATTTTAAGCATGGGGCTCCTTTTGAAGACTAATTAGAGAAAAAGAATTGAAAATTGTGTGGTCTGACATATCAAAGAAAATTATTTTACTTTGATATTTGTCAGACAATATAAGTCAATATACTCGTACTTACTTACAGAGAATTTAATCACCTTTTTTTAGTAAATACAACTTTTTTTTAGTAAATGCAATTTAAGTGAAACCTACTTCACGAACAAATGCTTGTATTAAGAATGTCTAGTTTTTTTTTTTATTACTGAAATGAAATGAACAATGCTTTATTCAAAAAAGCTACCACTCGTTCAGGACGTCTTTTCGCTGACAAGAACAATAAGCGAAAGAATCTTACCAGCTCTTTCTAAATGTTACATAACTTAGGTACTTAAAGTTACTTCACTTACTAAATGTTAAATTTGAAATTCAACGTCATCATTACTAAAAAGGCGACAAATCGTCATTACTATTCTTATTAATGTGCATGGTTCACATTTATAAAGTATCGAACACACTAGACCAGATTTTTTAATAGCTTTTTTATTTTAGGTTCGGTAGACTACTGCTGTTGTTGCCTTCGTTACGAGCTGTCCGAGCACGTTCCATTGAGTTATTACTATTTCGAGATACCGTTGGAGATGTATCTGTTGCGACGCTCCTCCACGATATGTACCGTATGCAGCCTGCGCCCGCACCGCCCTTCCACGCTCCACCAGTGCCGACATCGACAAATGAACACTGTGCTTCTCCTTAATACCTATCTTTAAATTTAAATGTGAACATTTGACGTTTATCGCAAGGATTCCAAGAGCAAGAATAATCTTTTTAAGTTGGAACGTGGGTTCATTATTTTTGAAATTTTTTATTGGGGTATTTTATTAATTTTGCATTCACAACGCTATACTGAAAAATATTCAGGATTTTTTAAGCATTTTTCATTAACATTTTTTACACAAGTAATAAAAGCCCATATTATTATTGTTTCATATTGTCTTCGTCTAAAATATATGTATAGACATTTTTTTAGACAAAATATTTTGAAAAGAAAAATAAACCTGTCTAGTAACTTAATAGTATTGCGCTAAACATATCGCTATTCTAATAATATAGATGAATAAGAAATTTTTCATAAAATAAAAACTAATTAAAACATTAGCACCATCTCTAGAAACTCAAACGGATGAAAAGAAAAACTTTGTATCATTGGTTTCGTATAATAATTAATAACTTTGGTTGGAATCACAATATGACGTGATGTAAATGTGTTCCTTGTAAAAAAATCTTGCTTTTAAAATTAAGAATATCATGCCCTATATAGTAATACTATTAGGTTAAAGCTGAATGTCAACTGTCAGCACGAAGTCAACGGACGCACGGTATGAAACGAACTGTACGGATTTGCAGAGGTCATACGTCCACTAAATCCGGATTTTTAATAATAATGCGTACGGTTGGAACGGCAGGTAAATTTATAAAATGGTACGCTATAGTAATACCGTGCATGCGGTCAAAGTGGACGTTCAACTTTAGTAGTGCTTAAATTATTCTAGTGTAACAATCTAGTCATGAAAAATAAATTTATCTATATAAAGCTGTAAATTTAAATGTTACTGTAAGTAACTTGTTAAAAACTCATATTTCATCAAAATTGATTAATGATTTAAGAGTATAAACTGCCACTATGTATGTAACTCCAAATTTTCTGATCCTCCAAATCATGTATGTAAATATATACTCTCATATTTTATTTTTTGTTATGTAAATGTGTTATTATATTGTTCAGTAGAATTAAGGTCAATGAAATGAAATAAATATAATTAAATCATAGTAAAAACACATTTTATTTGCGAAAATGTACATTTACCATTGTATAACATAAAAAAAAATTATTTGAATAAACAAACACACCTTGTGCTTTACAAAATATCAAATAGTGTGTCTTTTGGGAAATCAGTGTTAGTTCCTTAACCTGACACATTTACTTTCCCAATTGATTGTATAGCTTCAACAGTGGATAAATCAACTGAATCATCTTCAATTTCTTGTTCAGTGTGAGGCTTAGGCTCTTCCTTTTTAGGGTCATTCCTCGGAAAATCTAATTTGCTCCATGAACCCAATTCGGCCTTTTTTAATTTAATTTCCATCTTAGTAGGCAACATAGATGCACTACTTTTATCTATGTCTATCACCTGCAAACATAATTTAATAATAACTATTCTAATAATAAAAAATAAAAAAATACTAAATCTTAACTATTCTACTTACACCTCTTAACTCAAGATCTAGTTCAAAGACAGCATCATTTTCTTCTCTAAATACTAACTTTGTATTTAAACGAATTGGATTTAGTTTAATGTAGCTTAATGTTGGATCATATTTCTTAGCATAAACACTGACAATAATAAAATCTGATGTTTGATGCCAATCCCAACGACATTTAACAGTACCAGCAGGTGCTCCCTTAAAAAATAACATAGTATAAAGTTAATAAAATGATATAACTTTGGAGTTCGTAAAAATTTGACAGAAGATCAGTTAAGGATATTTTGTACGTTCTGATGTGGTGTGATGAATGACACTCAACAAATCTGATTCAGATATGCCAACTTTAAATTTATAAAATACTAGTAGTCACTCACTTCTTTTTTCCATTTATGAGTACCAGTAGTACATCCAGGTTGGCTAAGAAACGTGTTAAAATCCGTAGTCCGCTTCTGACAGCAAGACCAAAATTTAAGGCCTTCGTGAAAAACTGGACAACCAGGGTGATATGTGCATATGGTACCATTTGTTTGGGGTCCTTCATAAGAAATGTTACATCCACCATTTTTGCAAGAGGTACCAACAGCTATAACCCTGTAAAATTAAAATAAATTTCAAATTTTTCATTTATTGGAGCAAAGAATTATTTTATTTAAAAAAACTACTTTTAAACAAGTATAACACATTCTTGATTTTTCAAATCCTTTACAGGTTCATTTTCAGTTCAGTTCATTCAGTTATTTTCTTTATTAATACCTCTATAGTAATTCTACATTAAGATTTAATTAAATATAAATGCCATCAAATAATTTACCCATCATCAGACACAGCTGTCTTTTCTGTAGCTTTTCGAGTTATATCTTTCAATGAATCAGCAATAGATGCATTGAGGGTCACAAGTGGAGAATCAAATGGTGGCCGAGTTAGTTGTGGACCAACCACAGGTGCTCGGACTTCTATAACCTCCTTTTCCTGTAATTCTTTATCAAGACCCTTCTTTTCAGGTTCAGGAGGCTTCTACAAATACAAAATTAAATTAAAATATAACACTGTTAGAACTGTAGTAAACTTAAAAATCTATGAGAAAACAAATGAAAATCAAACAAAACTTCTCACATTAGTTTAAAGCATAGAATTATCCTGTAATTCAAGCGTAAGGATTTTGAAGGTTTTTATTACAAACCACATTAGAATGTTTCGATAGCGTACAGCCTTTGATATTCAGAAATTCTGTAAAATCCACACTCTTTTTATTGCAACAAGACCAACCCTTGTAGGCATCATGAAATATTGGTGCACCAGGATGATGCTGACACTCATCTGTAAAAAATGTTATAATTAAATAAAGGAATTGAAATTAAAAGTCTACACGGATTGAAGAGAAAAGATAACAGATAGGTTTCTAGAAGACTTAAAAGGTTAGGGATGCGGAAACGTCTCGAATATTCTGATCTCTACTTACCTTTGTCGTTATGAGTGGGATCGAACAGTTGGCCGCACCCTCTGTTGTAGCACTGTACTAAATTTTTATCTTCAGGCATAATAAATAATTTACTGATATGAGAATAGATGGAAATAAATATTTTTTTTTACGAATGTGCGCGGTCAAAAACAAACGCACTCCTGCCGCAGTTTTTCGGTTCGTCAAATCATCAATATGTCAATGTCAAATTGTACCAAAGACTACAATATAGGCTTGGGCAACAGGCAAAATTAAAATCATATTAAAATCAATGAGGAAATATTTAAAAAAAACATTAGTTCCCGAAATCGAAGTAGATGTCAAAAGAAATATTTTCACAAATATTTAAACTTTCGGTAAAGATGAAAATTTGTTCTAATTATTATATTAGATCAAAATTGCATCCAAAATGATATACTGAAAAATATTCTTAAAAAAATGCTTAAACAATCCACCTTGTCCCTGTGCACAAAACGCATAAGAAAATAAGGAAAACGCTTAAAGAAAAAGAGTATTGCTATGCAGTTTTCTTGGATATCCAACAAGCAATTAATAGGGTCTGACATAAAGGTCTCCTCTACATATTAAAATATAGCCTTCCACACAATTATCACCAGCTTCTTGAATCCTATATGACCGAAAGAATATTCCGAGTAAAAAAATCAGGCGTCTTACTTGAGAAAGCATATAAAGAAAAGAGAGAAGAACTGAACATCCGCTATAAACATCTTCTATGGCTATTGGGGCGCAACAGCAAATTGTCATTAGATAACTAACTATTAATCTACAAAGCTATCCTTAGACCACAATAGACATATGGCATATAACTCTGGGGTACTGCCAGCAAATCTAACATCCCAATACCAAAAGAGCCCAAAATATGGTCCTCCCAATCATTAGTGAAGTGCCATGATATATAACTAATAACAAAAACCATGCATACCATAGTGAAGGAAGAAATAGACATAGCTACTCAAAGATATGGAGTCAGACTAGAAACACAACCTAATATGCTAGCAAAACCGCTTATGACTCGGAGTTACAACTCTCTCTCGGAGCTACTCACAAGGAAGAATGTCCTATAGAGAGATATAAATAGGAAGAAGATGTTCTTACTGAAAAACACATTTCACAATTCACTAAATCTGCAACCATTTGCTTATAGAGATTATCACTGATTGTAAATTAAAACTAGAAAAAAAATCTGTATGTCAAAGTTTGGATCATATCTTTTTTTAATGTTCACACTTCTTAGTACAACCAATGATTTTAACCGAAAATTTGTTGAAAATCTACAAAACGCAGGTAAAATTTCGCTTACGTTTCCAGAATCTCTAAAACATCCCCAGTGTTATTTTGTCCTTTACAAATATATCCAAAATACTATTCAAGATATTTAAATATAAAGAAGAATACTACCAAGAAAAATATTATATTGAAAAAAGAATCTTGACTGTATAGCATATTTAAATGCCTTTGCCTTTTCCATTACAAAGTAAATGGAAAAAAGTGAACAAAAAAGATGAAAATCTGAAAATGGACAGAGTATGTTCGTGTGTGGGCGTAATATATGAATTTAGTCTCTATTAGAGAAAATTGTAAATAAATTAGCGAAATGTTGCTATGTAGCTAATATTTGTGATTAAGTTATTTGAAAAATATGGGAGATGTAGTTCGTAAATCAAATAACAGCTCTCTGTTTATATTGAACAAATGTTTGTGTGTATTAGTTCTTTTAGTGCATAAAATGTAATTAAATAATATTATCCGCATTCGGGTAACATGTGTGTGGAATATTAACTGTTATAGTACTGGACTAGATTTTTTACAATGAATTTAATGCGCAAATTGCGCGGCGCTACCGCCTCGGTGACTTCTGAACCTGCGGAGGCTACCAGCTCGACCTCTCATGTCCAACTGGGACTAATGCATCTAAAAAAGCTGTTTTCAGAGTATACCCACCCTCCACAACCTCTCACAGATGCCGAGAAAGACGACAAATTGTACAATATGCTACCTCTTTTTTGCAAGGTATTTAAATCTGTATTGTCTTTTGTGAAATTTGATATTCATTTAAGTAATGTTAACTTTCTTTAATTATCATATATTACTTATATTATAGGTTTAAATTTTTATCATAAATGTGTTATAAACTGCTATGAATTGTTGGAAAATATCATTGACTTGGTAAGACCTTGGACTTATTTTTTACCTATTTTAAACCTAAACATATGACTGTAAAGAAACATTCAAGGTCCTATCAAATATTAACTTATTAATGCAAAACTGAATTAAAATTTAGATAATAGAGTTTAGAGATTATAGAATAGGGCAACAAAAAAAATATTCCTCAAACCTTTAAGATATCTTGTTTCACAATCTAAATCTTGAAGAATAAAAATAATGTCTTCTAAGTAATTTATTACTGAATATTGCCTAATAAATTAATAAGAAGGTACGGGATCATAAGAAGAGTTACTTCATTGTTATACAACCCAGTTAGCAGTCTTAAATAAAACTAAACACCAGATTAAAATGATTACTAGAGATACAGTGACTCACCAAAACGAGTGAGTTTTGTCAGGTTTCATGGTGACTAAATTAGTCATTCAGCTTCGTGAATAAATAAAATGGCATAATTACTTAGTGTAACTGGGTTGGGTATTTCATTTTTTGTAATACAATCGGCCTAATATGTGTTTCTCACATATTCTTAATAACGAGAATTGCACCTGGAACGGGAGTAGGAATGAAATTTCCTCTTCTAAAATTTAATTCCATTTTCCCCTCAATGTGGCATAGATGCCTAAAACTGTAGCTGCGGCTGCACTAGCAATGTATGTAATGTATTGCACAATTTTTTATTCTTAACAAAATATATGATTGCTTATTATAACTTTATAACTTGTGTTTACTTGCTGGGATATGATACATATCTTTTTCTGTTAATTATTTTAACAAGCTTTATAGACAAATATTAACAATAGTAAATTATTCATATGCTGATTACAAATCTTCACGAATAGGAGGAGGAAATTATTATTTATTAGCTACTTTACTCAATAACAGAAAATGAGGAATTTTAAACTTAAAAATCTAAGTATCTATCTATGGCCAACAAACACAACTGGAATAATATTTGTAAAATTCAGTACTCTTCACAGCTACAGGGGTATTTGATAATGTATTTGTATATTTATTATTATACAATAAAAAGTAACCTTTGTCCTATAACAAGTCAACTGGGCTTAGTGCTTTTAGTGTGAGAGCATAACGAACATATACATCACCCTCCTTTGTGTCGCGCAGTCCTGTAAATAATAAATACTGAAGTGTCAAAATACATTATCGAAACTATAAATATTCTATTATATCTATTTTTTTATTTATTTATTTATAGCTTTTTATTACAGAAATACAAATACTCAGATGTACATTGTTGAAAACTTTTAACTTAGTATTGGTGAGTTTCTGTTTGTCATTTGGCAAAGACCTCCTCCAGCCTCTTCCACTCATTTCTATGTCTGGCTACTCTACTCCAGGTCACTCCAGCTATTGGTTTGAAATCGTCAGCCCATCTCTTGTTCTGTCTACCTCTTCGTCTTTTTCCATTTCTCGGGTACCATGCAGCGACTCTTTTGCTCCATTTCCCTATTCCTCATATCATGTGACCTGCCCATCTCCACTTTAACCGTTTGATATTCACAGTGACATCATGAACTTTAGTTCTTCTCCTTATTATATCATTTCTGAGTTTATCAATTCTTTTTATTCCTAACATACTGCACTCCATTGAGCGTTGGCAGGTTGTTAAAGCGTTGATATTTGGTTAAGGACCAGGTTTGACTTTCGTACATTGGAACAGGCAATATACATATATTAAAAAGTTTACTTTTTAGTTGTATATGGATATCTTTATTCTTCATTACTTCCTTTAAGCTACAGTAATTTTTCCACGCATTTACAGTTCCTATTATATCTATATGATTATTCAAATAGGGACTGTATAATAAATATCATAATTCATAGGGAAATTTAAAAAAGTATACAATAAGAAAGTAATACCGCTGTCTAGGTATGTATAGTAAATTTTAAAAAATGAAGTATCAAAATGAATTTTTGAAAGTAGTAAATTCAAATAGGGAACCTTCGATGTTTGCTGCCTCACTGGCGGTGCAACAAAAGATTATTTCTTTTCAACTATTCTACACTAGACGATTCTAAATCATTCCTTCATTTTGCCTATATAAGCGGGTGGATAGCCTGAAGTTTTGTTCAGTTCTACTTGAGCTACCAAGGTAATAACTTCGACGAGCGATATACTACTGCTAGTGCCGTCAATTTGCTCTGTAACTTTGTGTGCATCTTGAGTGGTTATTAATTATATTTTGTATACGAAAATGATATCTGGTGGAAAGAAACGAAAAGTAAATGCAGAGGGTTGCCAGTTTCAAGAAAAATGGACTGAAGGTTTCTTTTTTAATCTGCACAATTTTAAGCCTATCTATTTGCTGTGTAATGAATCCATTTCTGTGATGAAAGAATTCAATATAAAGAGGCATTACTCAACTAAGCATCCTACGCTGCACTCACTGACAGGACAAATAATACAAAATCCAGAAGCTTACTGTAAATTTGGAAAAGCAGCAGGCAATGTTTCATAAACAAAGAACTCTACTTGATAATGTTGTGAAATTGTGAAAGCTAGTTTTATAGTAAATTCAAAATTGACAAAGTCATTAAAACCATTTTCTGGTTGGAGTGTATGTTAGAATTTTTCAGTGTTTTGTGTCCTGAAAAGAAGTTTTGAATCATTTTCCATAGCATTAGACGATAGCACGATTTGTCGGATACAGGTCAACTGGCTATATTTATTCGAGGTGTTGATAAAGAGTTCAACTGTTACTGAGGAATTGCTTACTTGACAGTCGCCAAAAGCAACCACTACACGACAGGACATTTTTAATGAAGTTCAAAAGGTATTTACAAGTTTTACCTTGCCATGGTCAAAATTGGTTAGAGTACACACAGATGGTGCACCTTCTATGGTCGGCTTACGTAAAGGTTTCATCGGAATTTTGAACGAAAAAGCAACTGAATTAAATTTGCGAAAAGATGATTAGATTGTCCTTCGCTGCATTATCCACCAACAGAACTTATGTTCTAAGTTCATTCATCTCCAGATGTTATGAATGTGGTGGTAAAAACCATCAATTTTATTCGATCCCGAGGGCTTAACCATCATCAACTCAATGCGTTTTTGGATGAAATATCAGCCGAATATGAAGACGTAACATATTATTCTGAAGTCTAAGCAAATGGAAAATGCCGAAACAGTTTTACGAGCTTATAAATGAGATAAAAGACTTTATGCAAATAAAAGATAAACCACTGTCTGAATTGAGTGACCCAAAATGGATATGTGACTTAGCATTTCTGGTCGACCTTACTGGCTTGAATGATTTAAATTTGAAACTTCAAAAACAAGGACAGTTAGTTAAAGATTTGTACACCCCTTTGTACAGAAAACGTTTCAGAATAAAATCTGCTTATGGGAGGCACAGATGCTGTCTTGAAACAGTTACCGTTTCACAATGCTCTCTGCATATTATAATTTTGCTTATACTCAATATGCTGAAGAACTCAAGGTACTGTCGGAGCAATTTTCTAAATTTGAAGACGTAGAGTTGTGTGATTTCTACAAAAAATACTTCGAAGAAGACCATTTTTAAAATTCGTAAGAAGATTGATTTGTGCCTTTGGCAGTACTTATAAATGCGAACAATTCATTTCATTGATGAAAGTTAATAAATCGAAATATCGTACAAGGCTGACTGACGATAATTTGGAAAATTCTTTACGTCTTTGTATCAGTGGAATTAATCCCAACATCGATTGATTAGTTTCCCAAGTTCAAGCTCAAGTGTCTCATTGATTTCTGTATCGCTATTTAACTTTCGTAATTTGTAACAATTCCAAGTTCAACGATTTAATTATAATGTTATTATCTCATTTTACACAAAAGCGGCACTAACAAATAAGGGGACATTAAGAGCAGGCTTGTACAACTTTTATGAAAAGTTTATTCCAGAATAAGCGACTCTATTGGAGCCTCTGTATCGCTTGTTAGACTTAAAAAAGATCTTGGACTTGCGGTACATCAAAAAATACTGCGTTTGAAAGTGCAAAAGAACTGCTGTTATCTGATTTGACGCTAATCAATTATGTACTTGACAGAGAATTACTACTGATATGGAACTCTTAGAGTTATGGTCTCAGTGCTATTATAGCACATGTGATGAACGATGGATCTGAAAAGCCCGTCATGATGGCTTCAAGAACTTACAACCTCATGAGAGGAAATATGGGCAAATTGATAAAGAGGCTCTTGCTGTTAAATGTGAGAAACCAGTAAAGTAAGTACTGTTGCATGAACAATGACCAGAAGGCTGGACAATTGATACTTTAAAAATTGCAAGGGAGACTAACAAAGATGGATTCCTACAAAAGGTCTTGTTCCCACATGGTGCAATTGTCCAAACCAAAGCACTTGCTCGAGGATATGTTTGGTGGGCCGAGATGGGTCAGCAGATTGAGCGTTGTGTTGCCGAATGTGAAGATGGTCAAGCAGTTAGAGACAACCCACCTAGGAATCCTCAAACTTGGATCGCAACTGAGAAAGCTTGGAGTCGTCTCCATGTTGAAAAATATCAACATCGGATTGTCCTTGGAGTGTAAAACTACCTAGAATATTATATGCATTACGGCTGTACAAATAAAACGCCGGCCGAAATGTTGAATGGACGTCGATATAAGACAGCTATGTCCTCTATACATCCTTGTTCAGCACGAATCCAAACAGAAGAGCAACTGGAAGAAGCGGTCCAGCGAACTTCAACATGTTCGTTTGTTGTAAATCAGCCTGTTATAGCTCGCATGTATGGACCTGGCGAGAAGTGGCAAAGAGCTCATATTGAATTAGCTGAGGGTGCTAGCTTATATATGGTGAGAACGGAAGATGGAGAACTGCATCGTCGGCATGTGGATGTGTTTATAGTTCGGGCTGTAGGACAAGAAAAACCGGCACATAATTCTAAACCATTATAAATTGCTTGCAGCCCAAATGAATCAGGGTGCTCGGCAGATCCACCTATAATTATTCCGCCATATGAACAATGGCTTGATATAATTAACATTCCTAATTCTTATGATTGATTTGTTAACATTAGCTTAAGCAGTAATTTTAATTGTATTACACTGATTGCAATAGGCATGACGACTAACTTTTGTTTGTTTGTCCGTCAGGTAGTGTTAAAAAATATTAAACATGTATTTTTTTCGTAATCATAAAATTACGGCGTTACATGGAGTTGAAATTTCGCATGACGTCACGTTATGGTACGTTTTCTACTAAACTGTGACGTAACGAGCCCCCGCTCCTCAACTTTAATGCCTGTTATCTAAGTTTATTATGTGACTGACGGACTAAATAGAATTGCATTTTTTTTTACCCAGTCGTCATCCCTATTATGAAGGATGGTATATTCTGTATTTGATTATTATATTGACAGAAGTAATTATCATAGTATCTGTGGGTAATTGAATAATAAAGTAGTTGCTTTTATCTCAACTGGTATTTCTTTTACATACTACTTAATACTCAACTTTGATCAAAAGTGCGAAGTAGAATTTACTTCACGCCATCTAGCATAGCTCCAAATATAAAAAAGTTCTTTTCATATGTAAAATAATTTGTAATCTTGAATATTTTCATAATTTTAATTTTAAACATCATTTTTGTTCTTAATTATGTTATCAAATCCAATTTCCACCACTATATAAGGAATACTTTTTAAATAATGTTAGATATATTTATTAAAATGACAAATCTAATTGTAAGTAATGGTTGCTATGGTAACATTTTGTTTTCCTATCAAATTTCCACTCCCGATTTTATCTATTTAAGAGCTTTTTTTTTGGAACCTTTCCAGAGGCTCTTGAAAGGTAATAAGTTTAATTAAGGATACACTTTATCCCAAAAACCAGCACTTGTTTCACCAAAAAGATTTAAACTTCTCAAATATTCGATTTCATCAATATAGACCCAAAAACAAAGAAGGTCGGAATTTTATAAAATCTTAGTACACCTCAAAGTAATAAGATGAATGTCTCCTCCAAACTTCAAGTCACTACGACTAGTGGTTTAGGCTGTGCATTGTCGGTTAGTCAGTACGTCAGGACTTCCTCTTTTATATGTCTAGCTAGATGAATGATTATAACATAGTAACAATTATTTATTTTATTTTAATGTCAGATCTTTGGTACAAGCCCATCCAGTGAGATGAATGAAAAGTTTTGGGATATACTGTCATTCTGCCAACAAGTTTCAAAGCTTATGGTATCTGAAATCAGAAAAAGAGCAAGTAATCAAAGCACAGAAGCTGCCAGCTGTGCCATAGCTAAGTTCCTTGAAATTGAAAATTCTGAAGAATCCAGCAATGGATGGATGTTGTTATCAACATTGAACTTATTAGCAGCAGGTGATCAATCTCTCATACAGGTGAGTGGGAAGATACCTATATCTTAAGTTACTTATTAATATAAATGACCTAAAAATGAAAAAATTAATTAAATAGCAGCATTAAATTTTCTCCAATTAATTTTGATTATTCATGTTGTAATAATAACACTATATTTTAACTGATAGTTTGACTAACCATTATCCAAAACATTTGATTTAATTTAACAGTTTGAGATAACTTTGTTACCCATTGACTATACATCAAATAGAGTAGATCAATCAGGATCATATCTCAGTTCATTTTGTTATGTATAGGCCAGATATTATCAAGACTGATAGTAATTAATTTCAAAATTATAATACTTTGATAGTCTTTTGCAAGAATAAGTTACATTAATATACATAGTATCTCTACTTTTTGCACTTCAACCTGCATGCTGTTCATTATTATTAATGTTTTTATTTTCTTGTGATTTAGGTGATGACCACAGCTTCAATACCATCTACGTTGGTCAAATGTTTGTACTTATTTTTTGATCTCCCTGAAATTCCTGAATCAGAAGCAGACCTTCAAGATGGTAATAGTGATTTCACTCCTAGAGAAAGAAGGATATTATTACAAAAGATATTTGTACAGGTAATTTGTGCAAAATTCTATTTATTAACTTTTAAAAATTTCAATTTTAGAACGATATTGTTAAAAATATATAAAAAGTCATATATTTATAGAATATTGATTATTACAAAAAGTTCCATATGTATGTGCCTATAGTTTTTTATTGCTTGGATATCAACAGGTACTTGTTAGATTATGCAGTCACCCATTTCCATGTGAGGAACTAGCAAGGAAAGACGATTTGAGTTTGTTGTTCTCTGCAATAACATCATGGTGTGCACCACACAATATAATGTGGCGGAAGTCCGCTGCCGAAGTATTGATGACGTTGTCTAGGCATGGATTGACACAATCTGTAGTCCAGTATATACATAGTATGTACGAAATATAAATTTCCATCTGTCTACAGTTAATATGTTGTTTTGTAATAATCATAGTATTGTACTAGCAAGTACCCTAGAAATTAAACATAAAATTGTCATTATGATAATAGTTTTGACCTATGGATTTATTGATAATAACAACTAGACAACGTATTCATCAAATAATTGTGTTTTCAGATAAGGGCTGTGTAGCGTTATGCATTGAAAATATGCAAAGGATACCAGAATTGTCACCTTTGGAGGTAATTTATAGTTTAATTTGGTTTTGTCTAAAATATTATAATAGCGATGATGGGTAATTTTTTTTATCATCTATCGCCTTAATATAATATGTTTTTATTTGCGTAGTCAATAAATTACGGTGACTCATTGTGGAGAAATGTCACATGACGTCACACATTTGTAGATTTTCTACATAGTTGTGACGTAATGAGCCCCCCCACTCTCTAACTTAATGCCAATTATTTTATTAAAACTTGTTAACTTGAATAAAAAAAAGAATACGTACCTTATATTATATTATCTGACTGACGGACTTATTACAATTTCTTTTTTTTTTTCATGGCATCAACCCTATACTATTTCAAATCTCAGTTTTATGTTTTTTAAGACCTTAGATTAATTTTGTAAAAGGTAAAAGAAATGTTAGATAAATGATTACTATTTAATCATGTACATTTACTAACGAAATCTATTATTACAGGTTGTAGAAATGTTTGTTGCAGTATTCTGTTTCTTGAAAGACTCCAGTGATGTTAGTCAATTATTATTGGACGATTTTCGTTCATGCCAAGGATATTTATTTTTATCGGAATTTTTACTGAAGTAAGTATTTAATCTTTAAATTTAAAAAAGCATGAGCATGATTTGTGAATAATGATCAATTAGTTTTTTGTTTTCTTTTTTGTTTACCCACTGTTTTGTTTATTTATCACAGACATGAAAGACAAGAAGTGCCCGATTATTTAACATCAGGGTAAGCAATATTTTCACTGTTTTTTATTCACATTTATAGATACATATTTTATTTTAATAGAAGCGTGCATGTAATTACAACTTATAGTGTTATCACGCATTATTGATTATTTTGACTATACATACGTGTGTTGATATTTACTAGAGATGCGCCGAATAGTGGTTGTTCACCAAATAACCGAATACTATTCGGTTTAACCTTTACCGGACCGGATATTTAACCGAATTATTTGGTTTACAGGCTCAAAAATAAATGTTGAAGCTTAATTGCGTTTTTATTAGCTTTATTAAATACACGTTTCATTGGATTTCCTTGACTTATAACATAAGTATTATAAGAAGTTTAATCTTTAAGTTCGATACCGTGTCGTGTAGCCAAGAAAATAAAAATACTCGAACCGAATATATTCGGCACTAAAACCTCATAATTCGACCGAATACAAATAGTGAAAAAAGTTGCCGAATGCTGAAAAACTAATATCTCTAATTTATTAATTGTGAACATAGAATAGTCTTTATTTTTTCGGAAAGAAACAGCCCTAAATTCAGACTGAAATATAAAAGGGGCTAAGGTTGATCTGAAATTTAAACCTGAAGCACTGTATGAGAGGTTAATGTCAAGCTACAAAGGATTTCTATGAAACTAACAAATTGTCTGATTTTAGTTGATTTGTCAGTTTCTGATTACCATAATACAAGTGTTAAGCTGTTTATTAAGTGATTGGAAAGATTTGATATTTCTTAATATGTATTTATTATTTGATAAATTAATTACTTCATTAGAGTGAGTCTGATATTATACTACCCTTAACACGTTTTATTTCCTTAAAATTAAATCAAAATTAGAACTCATTTATACCCGCGAAAACGCTGTAAGTCATATTCATGACGTCATTCTGATATATACACAAAACAGATGCATAAAGCAAAAGATTAAAAGAATGTCAAAAGATGTCAATAAAACAACAACAATGCCATCTTAAGATCCATTACGATAAATGAAAAGATATAAATAAGCTAAGAACAGCGCCATATAAGAAAAATAAAAAGAATAAATAAGTAAATAAGAACAGCGCCATATAAGAATTTAATATATAATTATTATGCATATCTTTGGCGGGTCGTGTTTCAAGTCACATGACAATAGATAATTTTAATTTTAAGATAATAAGATAATTGTGCGATTTAAGGACTAATTAAAGAAAGATGTAAATTTTAGTTTTTGTGCAATTTCGTGACTTATTTTTCACTACCGAAACTACACTATTGTATGTATGTGAAACACGTATGTTTTATGTGTATATTGTAAAGAGTTACGTTAATATACACGTTTTTATGAGTTTTTCAAGCTCACTTTTGTATCTATCCAATCACTTTAATGTCCTTGCTAACGATAGGAAATTTAGGTTACATGTACAATTTTCGTAAAGATTTATCATACGAAATATTTTATAGCTTATATTTTATGACTTCCCGTACCTACTTTAAGTTGCTTAAAATAGTCTCTACCATGAAATGTATCTCGACCGAAATTAGCATTTCGTCACTTCACTTTGGCAGATTCCAAAATATATTAAAACAATTTTGTGATAAGCGGCATTCTATATTTATAAATATATAGAAACGCTCTCCTGTAATGTCCCAAAAATATCACTTAATGCCCCGTGAACCTTAATATATTGATCAGATTTGTCTGGTTGATTTTGTATTGTTTTAAAGACCAAACACCTGAAATAATATCTAGTTAAGGCGGTACGTCCTTAACTTAATGAAATATAATAAACTTTATTTGCACACAAAGAAATATAAAATATACAAATTGACACAAAAAATGACTTTATCTCTTAACAAAGAGCTTGACTGGACAACCATAAATGGAGATAAGAATAAAGAACCCTAACGGTTCAAAATCATAAACCCTGAGAATGCATAAATAATGTTACAATATTTACATACTAATGTAAATAGGAGGACAATATTGTATTATTCTAGGTACATATTATGATTTGTGTTTCCTACTCATTATCACTTATCAACGTAATTGATATATTTTGCTGCATCTATATTATCTAAGTTATCTGTGTTTTAAGTGCTAATGACCACGTCGACCCTGTCCCCAACAGCACGGGTTATACTACATATACTAAATATAGTGAAATATAATATCTTTACGCATACAATATGTTTATTGAACAATATGCTCGCAATCTATTCTGATTTTATTTTGTCATTTTTGAGAACGAATTAACGTCGTTCCATCGTTATAATGAAGCCTGGTCGCTTTTATGAAGGATTACTCCAACATATATGAAATAATTAAATACCGCCATATAGCAAATAGTATATCATTTAGTTAAATGTTATTTTTAATGCTAGATATTAAACTTTGTTTTTTTTGTAGCGTTAGAGGATCATCAAATAAAACGTACTTCATAAGTTAATAAAGGTTATTTGATTGATTGGAACCTCTAATGCTATGACAACGCTTTGTTCGACCCTGTATTTTTGTACAATAGCAAAGCATCAACTTTTATCAAGAGACCGAGTACTTTATTAACTTTGAAATATACGAAAATAAACTACTATTATACAATGTAAAACAACACAATTTTTTATTTTAGTTTGCCTGTCCTAATAAAAATAAAGTTTTTTTTTATACAGACTGGAAGAGGAAAGAGTTAGCGGTACAGAAGCTCGAGCGGCACTCCGTAATTTAGTGTTGATGATATCGTCTTTATGCGCTTGCGGCTTCTCAGAGCTAAGGCCTACCCGTGCGAACACAGAACTATTCCAATTGCAAGGGTTCGTGTTACCGCAGCCGTCGACACCTGGCCAAGCGGTCAGGAATGTGCAAGCGTTTCAGGTATCAATGCCTTTTGTTGTAGATTAAGATTAATATATTAATATCACAATGAAGAAATATTCAAATTTATCTATATTAATATACTATTATAACGTGGCGAGTAACTCGATGGCGTAGTGGATAAGCGCCGCGGCCCGCGATCGTAGTCGTTAAGCAACTTTCGCAAGGGTCGGTCACGGGATGGGTGACCAAAAAATTATTATCTCGAGTTACGCCGTGCTTCGGAAGGCCGTTGGACGTTAAGCCGTTGGTCCCGGCTCCATTTGCAGTCGTTAATACCCTCCAATCCCCATTGGGCCAGCATGGAGAGTCATGGCCCATCCTCCTTAGCCATCCATAAGGAAGGCCTGAGCCCCTGCAGTGGGGACGTAAAGGGGCTGGTGATGATGATTGTTTTAACACCTATAACTAATATCGCTTGAAGTATAAATAATAGTTATTAATGTTGAAGAATAATAACTTTGTTTTAGTTTTCTTTTCATTGTTTATTACCTTTTTCAGGTTCTTCAATCGGTATTTATAAAATCAAATTCGCCTGCACTATGTTGCACCATTCTTGACGCAATATCAAGCGTCTACCATGCTGACAATGCCAATTACTTCATTTTGGAAAATCAAAACACTCTGAGTCAGTTCTCAGAAAGGATTTATACGAAAAATGCGGAAATCCAAGAGAAATTCTTCGAATTATTGGAGTTCATAGTTTTCCAACTGAACTTTGTGCCATGCAAAGAATTGATCTCGTTATCATTACTATTGAAAGCAAATAGATCAAGGAGTTGTAGCATCCTTTGTATGAAAACTCTTTTAAATATTTTAAAGTAAGTTAAAGTATCTATATATGATTATGTTAATACTGTTACTACTACTGATTACGTACCACTAAAAGGTCTATTACCCAAATAACCATAAAAAAAATTATTACTTTTCAGACATAACGCTATTTTCAAAGATGTATACCGAGAAGTAGGTATGCTTGAAGTCTTCGTCACTTGCCTATCACGATATGCTGCTTTCCTCAAAGATAAACAAATATTAGAAGAAGAAAAAAATAGAAAAGAAGCGGCAGAAGTTAATGGGTCACCTAAAGCACCCGAAAGAAGAAAACGGTTATCTTCCAGGCAAGACTCTTTGATAAAGGACCCTAATTTAGACGCTGAAGAAGAAGAGTTAGGTGCCTTAGTTATGGAAGGATTGACAGCTTTGTTGAATGGCAATTCGAATAACTGCAACGTTTTTAGAGATTGCGGAGGCGCGAAATGTGTCCACGGCATGGTTGTGCATGAATCTTGTCGGAGTAAAGCCTTAGGTAAGCTTTATTTAATAATGCAAGCTTTTTTCATAATATTTATATCAAAATTCGTAAATATTAGTAAACAATACTATATAATTGTTATCTTCCGTCAGTATGAAATCCTAGTCCTTAAATTTTAATGCGTTAAAGGTAGAGCTCGAAACTGATTACGCAAGAAGAGGAGGCCTTTTGTAAGAGCATGAAGATAACTACTTTGTGATTTTGCACTTTTCGTTGCACATTTTGTATGTGGCATTAAAAATAATAAAAAAAAACACATTATTAATAAAGTATTCTACTTTGACAGTTTGATGTAATGGTGTAGTCTACAAGGAATTTGATGGATGGACATGGTTGAATTTATATTACTTTTTTTAGGCGTAATAAGGGAACTGATAGTGAGTGGATCAGGCGAAGAAGACATGTCTGCACTGCTGTGCGGCATGCACGCTGCCCCCAACGATGCATTACGTTTGAAACTACACATTCTTAAAGCTCTTTTAGCTTGTTTGCGTGATTCGCACCGGACTAGGACTATCTTTAGAAAGGTATGTTTAAAAAGTTTTTATATTTTTCTTGTTATATTTTTTGTAAAACGCTTGGGAAAGGCTCTTATAATATTGCGATTCATTCAAATGTGTGATTGTGTTGCTTCAGGTTAGCGGATTTGTTTACGTCACAAGCGTCCTTGTTTCGTTGGAAGGCAAACTTAAAGGTAGCGGAATGGTGGATCGGGATATGTTACAGCTGATTCATATAGTTTTTTACACCATAAGCACTGCTATGAGGTTTGAACCAGCGAATGCTAAGTTTTTTCATCATGAGGTAGGTGGTAACATAATTTTCATTAAGCAATTTAATTAAGCGTTTTAAAAATTCGATTTATGAAAATCTTTTGTTACAGATATGCATGACCACGCTCAGTGACACGATACGGTTATTAGGATGTTTTACTGACGATTTGGAATTACAGAATGATAGCGAAAATGGAGATCCGGAGCTTTATGAAGTTTTTCACGAAGTTTTCACTGGAAATTTCTTAGAGATGACGTAAAAATCTGTTATAGTAAACATTCGATGTTCTTGCTATTGAAGACATCAATTATTATTATTAAAAATGGTCGTTCGATCGGGACACTGGTAATGTTCTCATTTTTCTTGTTGCAGATTTCCAGACAAAGTGCCAGTTGTATTTATGCACGCGTGTATAGTTTTGAGACTACTATATGATGTTGCTTTGGACTCGTTTGATAAGCCGACGTTTTGTGGATCCCTCAACGTCAAGTCTCCAAGCTTGACTAGACAAAGTTCTGCAATCAATGAGGTGCATAATTTACTATAAAGATAGACGTGTCCATGACTAATGTATACAAATTTTTCATGACGAAGAACTTTTTTTTTGAGGAATTCTTTAATTTTTAGACCAAGCCTGCTGGCAGAGTGGCTCCTACTAATCTATCGACTAGCGGGACCACTGGGGAGGCGTGGGTAATTCACTCTGGTGTTGTAATAGTTCTGGCCAAATTATTGCCCGCGTTACCAAGACCGCCAGAACACGAACAGTATGCGCGAGCGATTCGAGATTACTTGGCACATGTACTTAAAAGTCTCGTCAGAAGGTAAAGTTGCAGAAGAATATTAAGTATTTTTGTTTCCATTTCATACTAGCTACTATACTAAGGTATTATTCAAACGTATGTAATCAAGGAGGAGTCTTACTTTTTTAATGGTATGTGCAGCCGGGGCGACCATTTGATTGTTGCAAATTTTTGTAGATTCTGATTACAATATACAAATGTTTACGAACATCTACGTAGTACATGACATTATACTGCTATTATGAAGAAGAAAGATTTGATTGTATGTATGTTTGTTTGCTTGCATTGAATAGGCTCCCAAACTACTGGACCTATTTTAAAAATTCTTATACCTACTGGATACATTCTTATACATCATGCGCGCTTGACATGGCGCTATCATTTACGCGAGCGAAGTCGTGGGAAATGTTTCATTAATATATGGAAAGTGTTTTTGTGTTAAGATAGTTGGGTTGGAGGGACATAGATTACTTTTTATTGCGGAAAAACAGTCATCTATTATGCACGATAGAAACCTCCTAACCTAACCTAAACCACGATAAAGTCCTCAGTGTCGGAGCTAGAGCGGGGTCTGTACCAAATTTCATGCATTTTTGAACACTGATTTGAAAAAATAATATGTTGGTCAGGCCATAGCGAGGCTTTCAGTTGCGTGAGGCATCCAAACGCGCAGGACTCGTAGCGTTTCTTACTTTTGCTACGTTACTAATCCGACACTGTTTATCCTTTCTCAAGGTCCACTCTATCGTTATACCAAATTTTATTAAAATTACCTAACGGACGCACACAGAGACAGAGTAACTATTGCATTTTTAATATTAGTATGGTTTTAACATGCGGGAAAAGTCACGGGTGACAGCTGGATCAATATAAATTGTTTTTAGTGAACGCAATCAACAAGTTATGTGCGGGGCGGGTTTGGCTGGCGTCGTGTTGCGAGTGTGTGGCGCCGCACTTAGATGCGAGAAACATCCGCTTCACGCACCCGCTATGTATATGTTGGAAAGGCTCGCCGCACACGCATTAAGACCTATCGAGCTCAGGTATATGCATACTTGTTTTTAGCAAAGTCACGTTATTTGATTGAATATTTTATGTGACTGAAAGGTACATTTTACTTTGTTAATATGAATGACTTTATCGGCGTAATCTTATTACTCGTTAAATTTTAGGGAATTTTTACGGATGGGAAATCCTTTGAATTGCATATCACCCGAGCCAGGTCAAATCTGCAAACCCGGTGGGCCAGTGCCACTAACCAGGATCAAAACTTTAGTTTCGATGACCACACCCAGAGACTACAGGTATATCGATATATATATCCAATTTTCATAATCAAATATCACCATATTTCATCAACTCGATGAATATATTTGACAGGTCTCAGAATTCGTGCACGTTGCCTCCGTTTGTCGAATTTGACATGTCAGCAGAAGGTTTCGGTTGTCTCTACCTGCCTAGTATAGCGCCACAGTCTGCGAACTTAAATGCCCTTGGCACTCAAGACAATGCCACTCTTGGCGGCATTGGGTCAGGTAAGACAATATTATTTTGAATCAGGTCAATTTATACATTATGCAAAAATACAGTCGCCAATGGTCACGGAATAATTAAAAATGTTGAAAACGATTTTCAACTAACATCGTATTTATCGCTTTTCTTACTAATGTATATACTTAGGTTAAAGGAGTTTACACTTTGTGGCGATATTCAAGAATGCATGATTTTATTATATGCGAATATTTGTAAGTACGTTTCAAATTGAATAGTGGAAACGGGACTACTGTAGCGATACTGGGTACTATACAATATAGGAAGCTTTTCTTTCCGATCACTTTTGCCATTTCTCTGTTACTGGAATACCTTGAATGCGAAATTTTTTACTTTATGCTCTGCTCTTCAATGATTCTTGATTTAGTCGAGTCGAGTCAAAAGGCAAAATTTTATCCAATCAATTTTGAGACCTAAATTTTTTATAGTTAAGTTCAAAATATATGTAAAATTTGGCGTTTGTCAATACGGGTAAACAAAAATAAATACACTTTTTTTCTGGTAGTATTTAATATACTTTTACCGATAATTACAATTTTATTGTTATTATATTTATAATATTGCTTAAACTTATTACGAAAAAACAAACATTTTTTACTCGTTGTCACGTGACTGCCAACAACGCGTGACGTTACGCCCTCTAATTCATATCAGAACTTAGAAAATTAAACCTTATGCATACAGACAAAAGTTATAGAGGAGCGTGGCGTCATAGCGACGCCATGACAGTGGCGGCGTTTCTACGGGAAATGTTGGAAATTATATGAATAATATTTTTGCAAGATGTATTTCATATAATAAAAATATTGAAAAAATTTGTCTTCACCCGTTTTGTCAAAAACATTAAAAATATACGTATCTGTTTCTCTATTAGGTGACCGTGTGTTTCCTCCTCAAACGGGACTAACTTATTCGACTTGGATATGCGTTGAGAAGTATTCTGATCCACGTACAGATCCGCATTGCGTACGACTGTTGACCCTGGTCAGGAATATCAATAACAGCCGTGACGAGCACCTCGTGTGCTTGACTGTGGTACTGTCAGCCAGAGATAAAGCGATCATCGTGTCTACACAGGAGACTTTAGTACCACACAGTGAGTGTTTACATAGTGCGTCATTATTAAATTAATCTACATATGCCACAACCCCTTCTTTATTTGGTTTCTTATACAGTCCTTGATTCGAAAACTAATTAAAAATTATTTTTTGCTGAAGTTTATTTACTTCTATATTACACTCTGAAAATGCGTCCTACCTTCTTCTGTTATATTTCTGTTATAAGAATGAAAAAAAGTAAGGTAGTGAATCAGTGCATGTTGTGACATGGTTTCTGCGTGCACAAAAGACTTTAGCAGAAACATTCTAAAATTCATAAGTATTTTTTAATTTATACTTATTGCCCTAACATTATTTAGTTTAAACTATATTAACTAAAGTTCATACTCGAAACTGTTCAAACAATGATATCTATGAAATAACATGTTTTCGACTTTTTGCATGTCTTTATCGTATTAATATGAGAGTAATCAATGACAAACAATCACTGTTTGCAACTAGAAAAACCAGAGATTAGGTGAAAGTAACTATCGCTATTGAAAATGGGACCGATTTATGCTCGACATACACTAATAAATTTATTAAAATCGATTTAGGAAAATGAAATAATTTTGAAAACTTATATAAAACAAATATAACAATAAAAGATCTTTATCATTAAACTTTAAATAAATAAGAACACTAACGTCTTCTAAGTTTACATAGTTGACCACTTATATCTGATGAAACGACGTGATGTTATTCATCAGATGTAGGAGAATGGGAACCGGAAGGGTCAGGAGAGTGTGGAGCGAGAGTATGGTGCCCAGACTTACAACACGAGGGACAATGGCATCACTTAGCTCTTGTACTCAACAGAGCGGTACTAAAGAACTCTTCTTTCTCGCTCTATCTTGACGGTAAGACATTTATTCTTATTGAAACTATACTGAGTAAAAAATCCAGTAAAAGGAGAAACGTGTTACTAAATTGAAGCCATTCGCTATGTCAATAAGTATCGCTGTTTTTCTCTACCGCTCTTAACATGTCGTAAATAGTAATTCAACCAAGAATTGTCACAGTTACGATTTTAGGAAAGTATCTATCGTACAAGTATAATAATAACCTTAATCTTGACCATAATTTGTTAATCACGATGTGTATTTGGTCCGTGACGATATTTATTTTTTGGACAATCGACTTAGTTTATAACCTGTTTACTACAAGAACTGAAACGCTTGCGACCATGACGGAGCATCGTGTGAGGTCATATTTCAATAAACTAAACGTCAGCCTCTTTGTTGCAAGTACGACCAATCATATTTTTCCTTTATCAATAACTCTTTTTGGAACAAATAAATCTGACAGTGCTTTAATATATGAAATTTAATAATACTTTTCCCAAAACAATGCCTAGGTAATATCTCACTCAACTAAGTTATATATATAAATGATGACAAATTGTAATTTATTTTTATTTAAAATAAATTTTAAAAGTATTTTTTTTTCAAAATTAACTAATTGTTTATAATCTGCGGATTACAACAACCGAAACGCGGGCGACCATGACGGAGCATCGTATGACGTCATATTTCAATAAACTAAACCTCAATCTCTTTGCGACAAGTACAACCAGTATTCATATTTTTCCTTTATTAAATACTTTTCTTAAAACAATGTCTAGGTAATATCTCTCACTTAACTGAAGCTTATCGCCGTTAATATTGACTACACATGATTTTTGGTTGTCAGGGCAACATATGCATTCTGGTAAGCTTCACTACGTGAGCGCTAACCCAGGTGGTGGCGCGGCGACTTTGTCTGGTGCCTCTAGTGTATACTGTGTGATCGGTACGCCGCCACAATGGCGCAGATATTCGCGTCTAGTATGGCGGCAGGGGCCTGCGTTGCTACTTGAAGACGTGAGTACTGTGTACTAACTACTTATTTTTATTGCATGAAAAAATGCTTTACGCGTACCCGCTGACTGACGACGAAGGGTTTTTAGGTTTCTGAAGCCGAATGGCAACAAAAGGACCGTTATTCGTTATGTCTGTCTGTATTTCTGCCACTGTATCCGGTCGGTGTCACATCCACTTTTTCCGAAATTATTAGTGTGATTACACAGTTGAAACTTGTTGTATTCTGTATAACTTTTGTAAAACTGATAGTAGTATGCAACTACCTGAAAAAGTCCTTTATTCAACCTTTTTATTACTACCTTTTATTAGGTATTGCCAGCTCAGATGGTCGCTGTCATATATCAACTCGGACCCCATTATGTTGGTACTTTACAAGCGCCGCAATTACCTGGACAAAATCAAGAGCCATTGGCACCGCTAGTGGCTGAAGAAAAAGTAGTGTTCGGCATCAATGCACGTGCAATGTCGCAACTCACTTTAGCGAAAATTCGAAAAGTATACAGTAAAAATGACAATAAAGCGATAGCGAAGCAACTTGGTATGTCTTCACACGAGAACGCAACGCCTATTAGGATATTACACAACTCGGCCGGACATTTGATGGGACCAGCTAGATGCTTGGGAGGAACAGTAGTTGGTTATTTAGGTGTCAGAGTATTTTGCTCCAAACCAGCTGCTATAATGGTAGGTTTATTGTGAAATAGTCTTTCATAAATGAGTTTTTTTTAACTAGTCTGTGTTCTGTATATAAAATATTTCAGGTTGACACAGTTGGTGGATGTTCTGTGTTACTTGGCCTTATAGCGATGGCTCAAGACGTCGAGTGTCTTTACGCAGGTGTTAAGGCATTGGTATGTGTAGTTCGTTCTAACAAAGCAGCCCAAGCAGAAATGGATCGACGGAGAGGATACCAAACATTAGCTATGCTTTTGAAAAGGAAAAAGCAGCTGCTAAATTCTCATATACTGCATCTTGTATTCGGTTTAGTAGGAACAGTAGATAGTCAGAAAGAAACTTCATCAATACCCAATTTGACAGCATTTCAGGTAATTAAAACCGATCAATATAAAGAGTTTAAGTATTATTTCGTAATTATATGCATTAGTAATATCACTCTAGCTTAATCCAGCTTATCGCTTTGCAGGATTTAATATGTGAATTGGACGTTTGGCTGGGAGCGCCAGGCGGACTAATAAAATCTTTGCTCGAACATTTATTAGAACTGGCCACAGAAACAGCGCACAGAACGCACAATTTGCGCACAATGAGGGAACTTCAACTAGTCTCAAAACTTTTGTACGTTATAAACGATGTGAAGGTCGTTAGCACAAAGAATGTTCTTATTCAACTCTTAGCGGCTTTATTAGGGGGACAGCCGCGACCGAGCGACCTGTTGTGTTTAGGCCAATTTATGGCGTACACTTTACCGCTACCGACACAAACTGAAAAAGGGTTAAATCTCAAAGAAAGCGATTGTGAGAAAGAATGTGAAGGCGAGCAAGTTATTTTGCGAAACAAATGCTTCAATGTACTGCACGGACTGTTGTTTACTGCTCGAAATCTAGTGAACACCATTGTATGTGAAGAAATATCTAGGGTGTTAGGCATGGATTGGTTGCTGAGTTTCATGCAAGAAAATGTTCATCACACAACAGTGCTGTGGGCTTTGAGGATTCTAGTCATATTGTGTTCAGGACAAGGGCAGCAATCTGCTATAATGCAAAGGTATTGTGTATATTGGGAGGAACAAAATGACCGACACAGCCGAAAGTTTCAAGTTAGGTTACATGCAAACGTTCATTTTATTTGACAAATATTTAAAAATAGAGGAGGTGTAAAAATGGAGTAAAAATTTTAAATTTCTAAGTGTTAACAGCCCTATAACGCGCATGCGCAATGTCGATTGTGTGCAGATTACAACGAACCGCGAAATACATTAATTTAATTTAATTATTTACCGATATCTTAATGATAGTTGATGCTGAAAATGTCCACTACCTCTCTGAAGACTGAGCTAAGCACGCTCTTTTCAATGCCGGTGCATGCACGCGCAAAACACGTCACATTTCACACAAAACTAAACACAATCTTCACTAAACTAAACTTAACACTCAAGACGAACACTCTAGTATCTTATTAACAAAAATTCAATTAAAAATGCACTAGAACAAAACAAAAATCGATAAAAAAAGACGCTTCGCAGCGATGCGTCGGCGGCGATGCGCAACAACACTCCAGCGCAAAAGGTCGACGGCGACTGATCGGCCGGAAAATATCGACTGAATAATGAAGCTGGCGGGCGGGTGGGGCTTTGATATCGAGGGGCGAACTCGGTTCACATTTTTCTTTCGTCTTTTGATATAACGCATTTTTAAATGTTCTTTTTAAATGCTATTTTAATAACAAATTCCTCAATGATTTTAAAACAAAGTTCATTTGTGTTAATGATGAATCGCTGGAAGATTTGTGAGTTTATCGAGTTTAATTAACGATCCCGTTGTTAAAGGAGTATAACCCCATTCAAACATTTTTTTTTTTGAGAATTGCTCTTTTAAAATAACGTAGGTTAATGTTAGACTGATCTCTCTACAATAATTTAGGAAATTTTACACTCGCTTTCTTAATTGAGAATTTAAAGTTAAATGTCTCAAACTAACATCACTTAGTTTTCGTTTCTGAATTTAGTTTTTTGATGATCAGTTAATAGCAGTTTGATAAAACTAGGACTATTTGACTTGTGAAATTAAAAAAACTTAGGTTATTGAGAATAAGCAGTAGAAATTTTCTACTTTTTTCAAATCAGAAACCGACTGTTAGTATGTTAATCGATTTAAGCATTTTGACTGCCTTGTTTATTGATTGTCTGGTAGAATTTGCATGAAAGCAGTCTTATAAGTTTATTTCCTTTTTAAAAATGTAGAAGTCAATGACCGATTTAAAACTTTTCCTTAGTACGTCCCAAAAACAGCTGACTCAGGGTTGAAAACACTCATTTTTTTTCAAAAACTTTGTAATTTAATATCTCCGAAACTATTTGACCTAGACTTATAATTTTTTTTTACATCATATTAAAGACAAATAGTACTCTCCAGGAACTTCGGGAGTGTCGGTCGTTCTGTTCCACCGAGTATAAATATCTTATCTCTGTCTCGAGTAATACAGCCTATTAATAAATAATATACATCGCGCTAAGAAGTGCAATTAAACGAAGCGAAGTTATGATAGTTTCATATTTCTTTGGAGATAAATCACATATAAGTTTTTAATATAAGGTTAACCCAAGAATGGTGCCAATAAAATATTTTATTAAGTTGGGGGTTCATTCATCGTTTTACAAACCTTCCAAATGTAATTGAATAAGGCAAATCTGCCATGACGTTAGCCCAATGCGGATTGGTCGGTGTCAACGACTGCAGATACGCTTAATGTAACGTGTCTCAAGCACGTAGGAGTTCGAGATAATAAATTTTAGTCATCCATCCTATGACTCGCCCAGTTGTTTTCTTTTTCGCTTTTTGTTAATTATAGATTTTCCTCATGACCGTGAACTGTAATATAGGTTCCGTGAGGGTGCCGGTAATGGTGGGTGGCTCCGTCACACGGAGGTAACAGCGACGCCGCAGCAAGCGGGCGTGATGTTACCCGCCGCTGTACACTCATACGCGCATTTACACGCAGCACTATTACACACCTCCGGGTTCACGATGCTCTCCTGGTAAGGCGAAGGGATTAGTTAAATTTGCTTTTCTTTAAAAATATATAATACTAGCTGTCTGCCAGCGGCTTCGCCCGCGTGGTCCCCAGAGAACTGTTTATTTAGATATCCATACATATCCAACCATACATATAATTACAATGACAAATTGAAAAGTAAACATTGGTTGTTATGGTAACATTTTAATTTCCTATACAAATTTCTACTTCCATTTTCATCTAAAGAGATTTTGCTTTTTTTTCGATATGAAACATATTCAGAAACTACTGGACCAATTTTTAAAATTGATCCAATAGATTTCTAACCTATTCGTTGCAAACAAACAAATAGTCAAATCTCTCCTCTTTTAACATTAGTATAATTTTTTGCACTGTTTCATGCTATAGTTCAGTCGAACAGAGAGAATTTCGTACAATTACATATCTCTTACACTTGTGCGCAGATATATTGCTATTGCGCTCGCACAGATGCATCTAGCCAATTTTGTGTGAAAAGTGAACCTAAAATGGTTAATGTTTAAAGGTTACATACGAAACAACATACGAAATTTTCAGTTCGGCCACCATACTCTACAAACACACTCCACACAAATTTAACCAGATTGGACATGTAGTGGATCATTATATTAAAAGTTCAAAATTTCTTGTTGTAAATCCTTGACTCTGGTATTGAACCGATTCTGGTATTGTTCTAGGCTTATATTGTCACATCTCCAAATACCGGAACTATATTATCTTCTATTTGGACTTACACTCGGCCAGCCTATGCGTAACGTAGGTTCAGATAAAACCGTCTCTGTGGAACGCGTTTGGGGGGCCGCTTGGGGAGCAGCGGCGCCATCACGTCAATCCTCCGCGGCGGTCGCGGCCAGAATAACACTTTGCCCTGAAGCTGTGGTTATATTACTAGGGGCAGTGAGAGCACTGATACACGCTGAGACAGGATCTATGCCCGAGTGGCTAAACGACCACCCCGTGGCGATTATACAGGTAAACTAACATATACTTCGGTGTCAAATACAGGAAGGGCTGAAAAACCTATACCCATAATATTTTCGCATCATTTTATTGTAAAACACGCGATAAAATAAAACAATTTAAAAAATATCTAAGATGTTCAGTCACCGGCATGACGTCTGATGCGCCCACATTGAATGAAGCAACGTGGTCGAGCTCGCTCGTATCGTGGCATAGACGCTCACTTAAAATAAGAATTTGTGTAAACGTACACATATACTATTTAAATTATGCGCTTCGGCTATATTCCTCAAGCTTCGGCAATCCTAATGTATTTTAAAGCTATCTATATAGAGTTGTTATTACATAATTAATCATTTCGCTAAATTTAGATTAGATCAGCCAATTTAAAACTAAAAGTATACTGTGTCTCTTGCTATCAGCTGATACCAAAATGAAAACCCCAGATTAAAGAAAATCGAATTAAGATAAATCTGTTGTACTAACTAAATATGTTTCTGACACCAGTAAGTAAAACAGTTTTATTAATAAAACAAAATTCATCAATTCATATAAATTTATCAGTTAATCACAATTTGATATGACTTCTATACCCGACATTTCAGATTCAGAATCATTACTGTCGCTGCTGGAACCAATGTTTTAGTACCTTTATTCAAATAAGGTAATTTGGCGTATTACAGCTCTATACAATTCTTAATACTGAAATATTGCGTGCTGTCACTTCCATCACGGTCGAGGTACTGACGAGTTTTGGCGGCTAAAACGACGATCACACATTGGTTTCTTGATCGATTAAATTCGTAAACACGAAATATACCGAGGCGCATAATTTAAATAGTACAACTGTACAAGTGCTCATAGAATAAATTTCTAGTTTCATACTTTTAGAGCGTGATTTATAAAATGTTGTAGGTGCTGTTCTCCCTATACAACACTTTACCGGACTTTGTGACAATAATGATGACTGCTGAAGTTTTGACTGCTTTGGCATCAACATTATTTCCACCTAATACTACTGATGACATACACATGCGTAAGTTTACAATAAATACATACAATAAAGTTTCTCTTCCTAACCTACTCATGAGAAATATTGTGTATACTGAGCTTTTTTGTATATATTAATAAGATCTCTTGCTTTGCTTAACTACAATGCGATTGAGAAGCGCTATTACCTAAATGTATGTGTATAGGTATTTTTATCCCGCAGCAATTTGCGAAAGCGGCGAAAGTTCTGGAGCGTCTACGCCAGGTTCTGAGAAAGAGGTGGTGATACTTGGCAACTCTGCCGCGTTAACTCAACATCCGGCTCGACAGGGCGTCATGGATTTTTTGCGGGTCATTGTACTCGACTCTCTCCCACTCAATGTTTCAGGAAAGACTGCACCGGTAAGATAAAGAAATAAATACTTGTATCATTCATTCACTTGTCGGCGTCTCATGTAGTCAGTTGTAAGTTTAACTGACATATAAATGTCCCGCGTCTTTGCTTCGAATGAAATTATCTTTTACTTTCGACAAAAAGTATACAATATTATTATGCATTATTTGAAACTGTAATAATATGCCCTCTTCAATTAAGATGTTTCATGTTATTTAATATCTTAGCTATAAAGTTCATTCAAATATAGTCTTTAAATGCCATGTTATATAAATAAATATACTGACTCTGTGAAACTCACTTGACTTTACCGTATTTTAAATGTTATGTTTTATTGTCGTGTGTTTCAATTAATAATGGGCAATTATTGAACCGCAAATAGGTAGGTGTCTTTTTATCAGTGTTGTTAAGGGTGCATGTTATTTTTGGGCCTGGATAAATTTGAGATTGTTAAGTTTGCTTTAATTCTCCACTAGAGAAGTAAAGGTAAATCAGAGTTTGAGAAAAATCAGATTACAATTACAAAATGTAATTAGCAATCATGATTACGCGAAACAAAATGAGTTATAATCAAATCCTATTTTATTTAAATCAATTCTTATTGGTTATTAATCATCTGTACATTTTTAAAATAAGACTTTGATTAAATGTAATAGCCATTGAAGCATGATTGAGATTAAATACCAAAAAGGGAATCCATTTCACATTAAATTGTATATACTACACATTTACCGCAATCATTTTTTGATATAATTAAAGTCAGTTTACTGGCAGTACAGAACTTGAATTCGAAGCCAAATAAATTACGCTAGTTCATAAAAATAAGATTCTCAAAAAGAACAATAATAGTAAGGTGAAATGTAAAATCAAACGTGTCGATTGACTACAACGACATTCGTTCTAGAACCCTGTGCCCGCTGCAAGCGCAGATTCGGTGCCACCGTCTATGTTTTGTACGCCATGTAGTCCCTGCTCTGCACCAAGATCATTTTTTTATTGCGTAAATATTGGCGATTTTTTTTTTATATTTTTCTTATATAAATTCATTAATGCATGTCTGGAGAACAATTTTATTTTATTGAATATATTTCATGCTTGCATATTAATTTTTCATTTCGCTTTGCTTTATATATGTTATGTCATTTTGGTGAAATATCTTTTTTACAGCGGATACTCATATCACTTTTTGGGTGAAGGTTCTGAATTTTATTTATTTAGTACAATTCTCTATTTCTGTTAAGTCTTCTTTCCCTCTTTACATATTTTAATTACCATAACAAATCCAGATATAAATTATGCTTGAGAAAGAATATGTTTTTTTCCTTGGTTGTTATTTCAATAAAATGGTAATTTAAAGTACTTTCTTGTTGAAGTCTCGATAGTTTATTAATAATCTTTCCCCGTAATTTAACTGAACTTATGGCGATGGATTTTGTAATCCTGTATTCAAAATAATTGGCATTGTCGTAGGTGATTGATTTAGTATTGGACGCTTCGCCTGCAAACTCAACAAGTCAACAGCAGATTGAATATCAGACTGAGGTTCTTACGACACTTATGGAAAATCTTTTGAACACTGAGTTGTTCAGTACAGAATCTAATATTTCCAATGTATGCTATCTGGCCGCGAGATTGGTTGACAAACTTTGGCAAGGGCAGTTATCACGAGATCCTCATGAGGTTAGTGGGATGATGTTTTCATATGTAATACGTTTAAATAATTTTAAAACACAAATCTCGTGGAACAGGGCTTGAATATGCTAAGACAATGCGATAGCATTGTGGATGCACAATTCACTAAAAATTGTCATTGCTATTTCTTCTCAGTTATTAATTAAGTTAAGTTTTATTCAATTACTGGTTTATTTGAATGTTCAAAGAGTTAACATGTTAAAATAATTAATAAAAAAATAATTGTCTCGGAAACTAAAATTTGAATATATTTGAATACATTCAACATTATTTCAGGTGTTTGACTTTATAGTTAAACTAGTGACTCAAGCTAAGAAGAAGTCATCAGTAATATCATTGGAAGGTCTACATCACTGTTTGAACAGAACAATATTATTCCTGTTATCTCGATCTACGGATTCCATTGCAGATCAAATGTCTGTTCTTGAAGCACTCCACAAACTCACTACTAATAGGTTTGTATGGATCGATGGATCTAATTTAAGGGAAAATTATTGATTAAAACATTCGATTTACTATACAAATAACTATAAAACATTAAATAGGTTGTAGGGTAATACAATAATAGTAGTCGTATATATTTTGAAACAGCTTACTTTCAAACTCTATCTGACCTATTAGCTGAATGTAAACCATCAATTATTTCTATTTATTTAATAAAACGTTTGAACAGGCTTAACTTCTATGAAGTAATACATTGATATTATTGCATTTATGACTGCATGTTGAAAAATGTAATGAAATCTCTTAGACGAGCTTAAATCCACCCGTGAGTTGTTTTAATGTCCATTTTCATTAGGTTATTGATCTTCGGTGCTGGCAACCACGAGCTAGAATTTATCGGTTGCCTTACCTACTGCCTGCTGCAGTTGAGCGCAAACATGAAGATAGCTTTAGATTCCCACATGCGAACCACCTGGCACGTAAACCCCAGCGGAGATCTTGAATCCAGAGATGACAAACTTACAACTCATCAAGGTATATTAATAAATTTTATATTATTTCATTACTTTTACCATTTTATAAAAGCGGACAAAAATAAATATGATAAATTGATATTTTTGTCATTTCTTTAAACATAACCTTGTAAGGATTAGGTCTTCTCTATCTTACCTTTGATATAGTTAAGATCATGAGTGCTTTTTGAGATTATGATCAATAGACTCGCTAAGGGGTCCTAACATTAATAGGGTACTCGACAATATTAAAAATAAGATAATTACGCTATATTATCTTATAAGATGACCACATATTTCACTTCATTTTAAACGAAATAATGTATAATCTTTACAAATTACACAAAATGAAATCAAATATTTAATGACATTTTATCTGAGATGAAAACGGTTTGCAGCTCCGCTGACGTTACAAGCTAATAAATATGGCTTCCTGTTGACGATTTTAGTTTGATGAGGTTTTTTATTTACTTGCGTGTGACGTCATATGCGGTGTAATGGCGGCGTATGCCAGACTAGATTTCGGAAATTTTAACTTGATTTTAATTGATAAACACAGTCAATTTCCCCGAAATATTAATGTAGTGTGCTTATTATGTAATAACGAATAATTTAAAACTATTTTTCAAAATCAATCAAATACCCTATTGGCCTAGTACAGATGTCGGCAACCTTATGAGACGCAAGAGCCAAATACAAAATTTTAAAATTGTTATCATATCACAATTTTTAAAGAGCCACTATTTCGTTTCAACATTGTAGTAGTAGTAGTTTGTTTAAAATAAAATGCTCAATCGTATTTTATATAATATATACTCAATTAAGGATCAATAACACAATAGAGATGACGACTAATTTTTGTTTGTTTGTCCGTCAGGTAGAGTGTAAAAAAATATTAAACACGTATTTTTTATTTTTTTCGTAATCATAAAATTACGGCATTACATCGTGTTGAAATTTCGCATGACGTCACGTTATGGAACGTTTTCTACTAAACTGTGACGTAGCGAGCCCCCACTCCTCAAATTTAATGCCTGTTATGTAACCTATTTCTTGTTAAATTGAAGTGAAAAAAAAATACCTATCTAATATCTTTCTATTATCTGACTGACGGACTAAATAGAATTGCATTACCCAGTCATCATCCCTATTTAAAGGATTTACTTTTACATAAATTATTTTTGTGAATGGAACTTGAGAGCCGCAACTTTACATCGAAAGAGCCGCATCTCAAGAGGTGCAGATAGGCGACCCCTGGCCTAGTAATATAAGCTAATAAGCCTACAATTCTTATTACTATTTAATGGTTGACAATATTCATAGGTCGTAATTTAATGGCTGGGGCGGCGCGTAGAGTATGGGAAGAGCTATATGCGTGTAAGAAGCCAGCCATCGAAGAAGTGTTTAAAGTAACTTTGGTTGCACCCGTTGGTAACGCTCGCGCTCCCGATCTCACCTCGGTTAGAGAACAACTACATGAGAGCGCTCACAAGCTTTGGATCAATTATATTGATACAGAACGCAAGGTGGGTATTGTTTTACATTAATTGTGTTTAGTTTATCGTTATAACTATAATAATAATATATTAAGAGATTACAAGAATTTTACTTAATATAGTAATATAATCCACATCTCTCAAACTGGGGGGGTCACCCTGAATTTTTGGAGTTGATTTATTATCTTAAACGTTAAAATGTGCTGCTTGAACTTATCTTATTTTTATTTGTAATTAAATTGGGACACTTCATAAATAGGAGATGGGACAGTAATCAGATAAAATAATAAAATGTGTTAGGTTAAAAAATTCATAAAAATAAAGATAATTTATTAGTACAATATTTTTGTTAAACAATATTGTTCGATTTATAATCAAGAAATAAAATTTCAATTTTTCAATATCTGTAATCTCTCAGTATTTTGTTAATAACTCTAATAATTTAAAACATCAATCAGACCACGTGACGCCTTTTGGGTAATAGGGTATTCCTCTCTATTTGAAATAATACTTGTAACAGTTTAATATAAAAAAAACCACATAACTAATATTTAAAAATAAACACGTTTGCTTGCTTTAAAATTAGATCTTTTTTTAATATGATATTCATAACGTCATTCTGTATGTGCATAAAACAGATGCACACAGTTAAAGATTAAAAGATGTCAACAAAACAAGAATAATGCCATCTAACGATCGATTACGAATAAAAAGATATAAATAAACTTAAATTAGGAATTTGATTTAATTAATAGGCATACCCTTATGAGTAATCTAACAGTTGTCGCCACAGTGACGTCACACAATGGCGGTTCATGTTTCAAGTCACGACACAACACATAGACAAAAAATTAGGACTCGATTATAAGATAATCATATGATTTTGTGAATCATAATCAGAATCTCTTTTTTTTATCACGATGTTAATTTTAGTTTTTGTGCAATCTGAAAATAAATAAAAAAATATTTTTCACTACCGAAACTACACTATTTGGTAAATATTTTTTAACTTGTTCAATGCCTTATTCTCTCAGGCGGTGTATAGAGTACCATGGGAGCTCCACAATCAGATTCAGTCGAAGATACAGAAAGTAACCGGAGGATTAACACGATTGGCGTCTAGAACGAAGGTGAAGAAGGAGGACTCCGCCAAGCAGCGGCCTCATTTGCCCCGAGATCATGCCCTAGCTTATATGCAGGATCATGTTCAACTGGTCAGGTTAGTTATAAACTTATCTATACATTTATTCAAATAAATAAAATTGGAGTGTTTGTTTGTTATATCAAAATAACCGCTTTTTACTAAATCGTCTGCGCATGATATATGGGGTCGTCTATTAATCCCGAAACTTCGGCGATCGAGAGTGTATTTATTTTTTCTAAAAACGTTATTCCAATCGAAAAGCGCCTGTTTGATACGCTGGCAATGATTTCCCCGCCCGTCGCGATATATTATAATTTACTGTATGCAAAGATAATATTCTAAAAAAAAATTTGTTTGCTTTGTAAATATTCGCGTGATCTGGAGGAGGTAGTCTAAAAAAACCAAACGTATTAGGGAGAAGGGTAAAAGTTACGCATCACGTTTTGAAACATCACGTGAATAAACTTATTTAATTATCAAAATACGTGCTAATCCAACATTCTCGTAGATGTAACCATATTTTATTCTATAATACAGGTGTAGACAGTAAACGAAATAAATATATATTATTTTTCTGGTTCTTTTATTAAACTATAACCAATAATACTCTTATGCTAATTATATTTATAATATTGCTTAAATTAATTGTAAAAAAAAATATTTAATATAAAATATAAATATAATATAAAAACTAAAATATTTTATGCTCCTTGTGATCGCAAACAGCACGTGACATCACGCCCTTCTTACTCATATCAGAACTTGGAGAATTTAACCTTATGCATGCATAGAACGATATTAGCTTCAGAGGGCCGTTACGCATTACGCGAGAAATTTTGAAAATTCAATTTATTTTTAGATTTTAACCCGTTATATAAATTATTTTTTTTTTATATGTTTCATGTATTTTTGTTTATTTATTTCAGGTAGTACCCATAATGTTAGTAAAAATGCTCTTAAAAATAATGTTAGTAAATACAAATTATATTTCTATCAGACATTTCAATTAAATCAAATTAAGTTATATTAAATCAAATTTTAAACTTATAATTTCATTTATTTTATTTCTTGAGATACTGTAACCATAAATTATATATAAAATAAAAAAAAATAAAAAAAGTTGTCTACACCCATATTATATTTATATTATGGTAATGATTGTTATTATTTAAGCATAGACTTCAGTATATTTGTGTATATTAATATTCAGGAGCGCCTGGTGCGGACAGTTGCGTACAAGCGGCCAAACAGCCGAGCATACTACACGATACGTACAAGCGGAATGGGCTAGCGCGTGGCGTGAGTTGACTAGAGAACGGGCTCTGTGGGGCCCTGCCCGGCCCGACCCGTTACGGAAGTGGGCCCTGGACTGTACCGAGGGGCCCTGCCGTATGCGCAAGATGCTACGGCACAACCCTGCCTTCTATTATCACTACCCGTATCGGGCTGAACTTGACAACCCCGAAAATGTAAGCTAAATTACTATCCCTCTTAGGTTTAAAAAATGTATTAAAGCAATACAATATCATCAATTTGAATGTGAATTATATGGTCATTGTATAGAAATAAATTTTTTTGATATTTGTAATATATATACTGGCAAAGCGAATCATCATCATCATCAGCCCTTTATTTCGTCCCCACTGCAGGGGCTTAGGCCTTATGGATGGTTAAGGAGCATGTGCCATGACCCTCCACGCTGGCCCAATGCGGATTGGTAGTATTAACGATTACAAATGCAGCCGGGACCAACGGCTTAACGTGCCTTCCGAAGCACGGAGTAGCTCGAGATAATATTTTTTTGTTTACCCATCCTGTGACCGACCCTTGCGAAAGTTGCTTAATGACAACATTCGCGTGCCGCGGCACTAATCCGCTACGCCACCGAGCCACTATAGAACCACTAAAATAGAATTTGATATAAATATATTTTGTTATTTTTTTGTCACACTTTTTTTTTACAATAAAATTGTTCAAACTAAAATTATTCACGTGCTACTGTGGAAGTTTCAAAATCCTCTCGTTAGTTCTCCTCTAAACTCCCTAAGGAATCTTCATTCCAAATTTCAACTTTGTACGCTCAGTACTCTCAGTACTCTGGTACCGTCGTTACGTTTTCTGTCAGTCAGTCAGTCAGTCACTCACTAACGCAAGAATTTTATATATGTCTAATATAGAGTATTGTTTGTTTAACAGAAACAATTAAAGTACAAAGTAGCACAAAGTTTGGACAGCAAGGAGTACTACAAAGTATATCAACAGTGGCGAACGGCAGGCAATCAGTTAGACGAGGTGGAAGGCGTCGAAGCAGCCGACGTACAAGTATATCATGAAGAAGTAGCGACGTAAGTGTTTAATTGAAGTTTTTCTTTTATGATTTAATTTTTATTTATTTATTTCATCTTTATTGCAATACAGCAAAAGGCGTTTCCGCATGCACGTTGTGCTTACCCTTTTTAGATAATTATATCATGTTTGTATGTAAACTTTACCCCTTTCTACATCGTATAGTAGTGATAAACAATATTTCAGTCGCGTTCCTATCGAATACTTGTTAGCTACTAGAGGTTCGTACATTACGCTACTGAAAATCATAATTAGCATAATTGAAGTGCACAGTGTCCAGTTTTTAAAATTCGTATTTAACTGCTGTTCCTCCGCCATCTTGTACAACGGTACAACGAGTATCACGAGTCTAGTAGCGGATATGTAGTATTCTACTAATAAAGCGAATCGCAATACGATACTCCTTGACGACTCATCGTAGGTATCGTAACGTAATAAGGGCTCTTGTGTCCAGTTTTAATACCCGTTTGTTTACGCAGTAACAGAGAACAATCGCTTGAAGTCACTGAAGGAGATGGTTCTCCTTCAGATTTGGTCAGCAGTGGTGTGGTTAGTCGTGGCAACAATCAATCTGGCGAAGGTAAGCCATTTTAGAAATTGTAACCCTTATTACACCTGATATAATTTATGATAACAAAAAAGTATTTTTCTAAAATCAACACAATTATTAATTATTGCAATTTTTATAGCTAATGAAGATGGTCCCGACAATGAGGATGAAGATGAGCCTCAACCTCCACCTCCTGATAATCAAACTTTGCTACGCTTACTAGAGCACCATGAAAAGGTACAGCAGATAATAAGTATAGGTATTCGTTCTGAGTGAGTTTTGAGACTAGAGTTTCTAAGACTTTCTAGTTAGGGATTTTAAGGTAGTTTTACACAATTACTAATTGTTCAAGTTAGCTGACGACGACCAATGACGTCATAAACACATCAACTGGTACCGTCGTTACGATAAATAAATAATAATTTTATTTTTACTGGGCTTTGCTTCTGGTTAGTTAAAGACGAGTTTGGAGTTAATATTCTTTACGTAAAGATTATCAAACGTTTGAAAAAACAACAAAAATTCCATAAAACTTTAAAACTATAATAGCAACGGCAAATGTATGCAATGGTGTTGTTAACAGAATGGTGGGAGTGGCCTCGAAGAAAACGACTAGTACTTAATATATTTCTTTATTTCAGATATCACACATGTTCCGATGTGCAAGAATACAAGGTCTGGATACAACTGAAGGTCTATTATTGTTTGGCCGTGAACATTGCTATGTCATAGATGGCTTTACCCTTTTGAAAAATAGAGAAATCAGAGATTTGGATAGTTGTCCAGACGATTATGAACCGATACTTCCGAGTCAAGGAATCCAAAGAAGTAATCAGCGCCAGTGCTCGAAGTTTTTATACGAAGATATACGGTAGGCTGTTAAATTGGAATTCAGTTAATATTATTCAAAATTGTTGAACTAGTTGACATTTATATTGTATTATTTTTCTTTAGGGAAGTGCACAAAAGAAGATATTTGTTACAACCTATAGCATTAGAAGTATTCTCGAGTGACGGCAGAAATTACTTGCTTGCTTTTCCAAGAAAAGTGAGAAATAAGGTACGATATAATGTAGCAGCAAACCAATGCATAATTATTTTATACATCTAAAGGTTTCCACGGCCCTTATAAAATTTAAGCATTACTTACCTATTTTTTTGCATTTTGCATAATATATATTAAAATTGTTCAAATAAAAAACCTTGACTAAATAATGATTGACAAATATTTATTTCACAGAATTTTTAAGAGTATTTTTCTGTGATTATTAAGAGTATAGAGATGATGCCTGGGTTATAAAAATTTTTTTTGTTTCCATTGAACAAGAAATGGCCTAGATAATAGGCATTAAAGTTGAGGAGTAGAGGCTCATTTACATCACATTTATATAGAAAATGTACAAAGGTGAAACGTCATACGACATTGTAAATCAGTGTATCGCCGTAGTTTATTAGTTACGCAGAAAAATAAAAGAATCACTTTAATATTCTTCAATAATACCTGACGAACAGACAATAAACTAGTCATCTTCCCTATTGTGAATGCAAACTTTACCAATCATATTTGGTGAATGTGTTCGCAGGTGTACAGTAGATTTACAGCGTTGGCTACTGGTATGGCGGACAGTGCGGCAGGATCAGTGGCGGGACAAAAGCGTGGCGTGGCCGTAGAACAGCCGGGCGGTTTGCTCGCCACACTCATAGGCGACACTTCCGTGACGCAAAGATGGCTGGTATGTGATATATATAGACTGAGAGCTCGTTACAAAAATGTGCAAGAGTTTTCTTTAACTTGATATTTTGCTATGTTGAAGTACTAAAGGTATACATCACCTGACGGCAGCCCGTCCTTAACTTCTAACGGTTGCTGAATATATTTGTTCTATGAAATTAAAGTTCGAATACTGTTTTATGTAGTAACTACTGTAACTAACTAGTGTCGAACGGACATGGCAAAAGATATGTCTAGCGTTTACAATGGCCATGTGGTTCACTAATGTACCGCTGAGTGTGAGTGAGATAAACTCCCTATTTTATTTTACACCTTATGATTATTCTAAGTTTTAATCATTTGTGCGCTCATACATAAATGAAGATTTACCCTGTACCATAATATTTGTAACTTACGGTACCTATGTTTATTAATATCAACTTCAGAGTACAAAAAGTGTTGCAATAACTGGTTTCGACTCTTTATGAAAGTGTATGAAACTTGATATGAATTTTTAAAACCAACAGTTGCTTCAATTAAATAAATAGTTTTTGTAGTTATAACAAAAAAAACAACCTTTATAATCTGTTTGATTTTGTGTTCATGTTCATTACCTATAAACTTTTTTTATTACAGCGCGGCGAGATTTCAAATTTCCAATATCTTATGCACCTTAATACGCTCGCTGGCCGTTCATATAACGATCTGATGCAGTACCCCGTGTTCCCTTGGATATTGGCCGATTATGATTCACTAGAACTGGACCTCAATGACCCAGCTACTTTCCGGGACCTCACGAAACCCATGGGCGCGCAAAGTTCGGATAGATTAGAGCAGTTCCGAAAAAGATATAAGGTTTATATTGTTTTATTATTAATTTGAGAATATTGCGTAATAAACTTAAGCAACTACACTTTCCCATACAATGTATGTGAAATAATAATGAATGTGAAATAAAAAAAAAACTGCTGGCAAAGGAATCTGTCTCTATGCTAAAAATAATGCTGAACGTAGTTAAATATTTCAATAGTATATATAATTTTTCACCGAACATTTCATTATTATAGTACTTATTTATTCCTGATAAATGTTTATTAGATTACGATGTCATCAATAAATGTCTTCTTTTTTATTTGAAAATCTTATTATTACTTTATGAAACAAAGAGTATGTTAATTTACATGGCATTTTGTTTTTTAAATAGGAATGGGACGATCCCCATGGTGAAACACCACCGTATCACTACGGCACGCATTATTCGTCCGCCATGATAGTTTGTTCGTACCTTGTTCGAATGGAACCTTTTACACAACACTTTCTTAGACTACAAGGTGGCCACTTTGATCTAGCAGACAGGTAATCTACATAACATCAAGCAATTGACTATTTACGATTGCATCTAGTCTAGAACGTGATAATAAATCTTCTTTAATTATTTTCAGGATGTTCCATTCGATAAAAGAAGCTTGGAATTCAGCGTCGAGACATAACATGGCAGACGTGAAAGAGCTCATACCTGAATTTTTCTATTTGCCCGAGTTTCTAGTCAATTCCAATAATTTCGACTTGGGTAATAATTTTATCAAAATTATCGTTATAATTGGCTAATTGGCTATTTTTCTCCTAAAAGTGTTATTAATAAAGTATATTCTTCATTTTTAATCAAAGGAAGAATATATTTTTAATCACTAATTTGAATTATCCTGCGAAAAGGATCAGTCACGTGACACGACGTAAGTGCTGGTTGCACTCCCAAACAAAGCGTTTGAAGTATTGAAATGTGACGTCATGGTTGCCCGCGTTTCGGTTCTTGTAATCTACTGATTATGTTTTACCGTTCTTCAAAAATAATGAATTTTCTATTCAAAGAACAGTAATGACGAATGTATCGAACCGGAAGTTTGGTTTACGCGGAATCACCCAAGTTAATGTTGCAAAAATATTAATTACTTAAAATTTATTTTAAAACTAATAATACTAAAAACGCAGTTAATATTTTAACTGACAAGTAGCCAACGACACATATAAATAATTATACTTTTATGAATCAATAATGAATTATGATTAATTCAAATATATTATTATATATTATAAGCGTTTGAACAGAACGGTCTATCGGTACGCAAAATATTAGTCTCATGATAAATATAAATATAGCATTATCACCGTACAATAAAAAATGGTACATTGACCTTTGTGCCTTCTATAATATCGGAAACATAAGTTCACTTCACTATGACAAAATTGGCTAGTCGCATCTGTGTGAGCGCAATAGCGATATGCACGAGAGAACGAGATATGTGTATGAAATTCTCTATACGGCGACGGTGCTATATGTGTACTTACTACACTTCCCAATCCAACATTTATTTATGGTTCTCTTTTTAAAGTGTCATATTTTCCAATAGTGATGACAAATATTTTTTTTGTTTGACCATCAGGTAGATTGTTGAAAAATATTTAAAGTTTTTTTTTATGTTTTGCATAATCATTAAATTCACGCAATACATCGAGTTAAAATGTCACATGACGTCACATTATTGTACATTTTCTACAGAACTGTGATGTACCGAGTCTCCATACTCAATTTTAATGTTTGTTATCTAAGCTATTTCTTGTTAAATTGAAATAAAAAAAATACGTATCTAATATTTTTCTATTATCTGAATAACGGACTTAATAGAATGTCTTTTTTTTTACCCAGTCATGTCTATTTTTATCAGGTTCAAAGCAATCCGGCGTAGCTCTAGGTGATGTAGTATTACCTCCGTGGGCCCGCGGTGATCCCCGTGAGTTTATACGTTTGCATCGCGCAGCTCTAGAGTCCGATTACGTATCACATCGGTTACACCACTGGATAGATTTGGTTTTCGGATATAAGCAACAGGGACAGCCAGCCGTCGACTCTTGCAACGTTTTCCATCATCTGTTCTATGAGGGCAACGTCGATATATACAAGTAAGCATGCGTAGTCCATTTTTTTACTTGTGTAAAGTAATACAAACATGGCGTCTTCATAAGATTTGATAGGGTGTGGAAACACTGAATTATTTACTATTGATCGGCAAAATTTTTGAGTATTAAAAGTCTTTAGTTTAAATGGATCAATCAAGCGATTTTCAGTAAAAATTAATGTGTTAACGTATAAACTAGTTAGTTATTATAACAGCTTAAATTCCTGTGTTAACTCGTGATATTTGTTTACTAGTTAACTCAAGTAAGAAAAAACGGAACTTATCTTTTTTGTTATGAGTAATATAAAAACTAAACTGATGTTTTATACTTTGCTAATACCAACATGTTCAATTTAGATAGCTGCCAAACCACTTGGTTTACGTTTATTTTAAATTAATGATAATCTGTCTATTGAAAAAAAAATCGTACTTTTGTAAAGGATATCGAACCCTACATAAGTCTTATGTAGGTATTACAGGGTATGTTCCGATATACACTGCGAGCACTGCGCAGTGGTCTTACTGCTGAAAAATCCGACCCGTTATGGACTGCCAGTACACTGCTACAGTACCCTAGGGAAATTTATGACGTCATAAATTGCCGCCATATTTATACTGTGAGCACTGGAGATTTCGAGGTAAGGTGCTCGCAGTGCTTTTGATCACGTGATCAGTCGAAACAGAATCAGAAAATGATAAGTTTCTAAATAAATTACTTACGTTTATTATAAGATGGATAAATATTTTTTATACAATTTTCCAATTTTATAATATTTTCTTTTGAAAAGAGGGAATCTTTATATTTATATTCACCTTGCATTAACAAATTTGAAAATGGCGCCAAAAAATAGGATTAACAGTATACTGGACTGCGTTCCGTTTTAAAAAGTCACCAGTATAACTAGCTATAAAGGAACGGGCTTCCAGTATACTAAATTGACGTCATACTGTTCAGTGGTCGCAGTGTATATCGGAACATACCCATAAGCTCTTATATACGCTCGGCTGCACGTCACGCTACATACCACCACCGTTAGCAGACCTCTCTTAGTAAGGAAGTTCTATTCGACGTGCAATCTGTAGATAGTTCACAATGTATTGTCTGTCGTGCAGCCTTGTGTACAAAAATGCGGTGTGACATTACAAAGTAATTTTCTATAGCTCATTTTACTTATTTATTACAATCACACATTCTTGCGTTGTTATGTCACATTTGTTGTCGACCGATGATTTCCCAAAGGGAAGTCTCATTCCGCAAAAAATCGTATCATATCGATTGACAGTGCTATGAAGTAGTGTAAGAAATTGCATTAAAAACTTATTTAAAATTATTAATATTTTATATTGCAGCATTGATGATCCATTGAAGAAAAATGCCACAATCGGCTTCATAAACAATTTCGGTCAAATACCCAAACAGTTGTTCAAGAAAGCGCATCCTAGTAAGAAGATGTCGCAACGAAGTTCTACCATATTAGATCCAAATAACATAATTCCGTCGCAAGGCATTACGCCTCCTGAAAAGTTATTTTTCCACAACTTGGAGAATTTGAGACCTTCTTTGCAACCCGTGAAAGGTATGGTATTATAACGACCATGCATACTTCATACTCCTATGCTTTATAATTAATTAAACAATATATTTCGAAACTTTTGGGTTATATAATGCACTGATTATTATATTACTTAACGTCTCAAATTTTGGTAGTCGTTTAAGTATGATTTATGTATTATTTTAGTTATTTATATCCTTCTCTTTATTGTCATCGAAAGGAATTAAAAGCTTTCAAATGTATATTAACGTTTCTATGAAGTTCTAATTAGAATCTATTAATATTAAAAATATATATATTCTTCACGCAACCCTCATCCAGACACCCTCGGCTGCCATTTTGATCAAAAATAAGCAAAGCAAATACCCCATTCTCATTAGGTATTTACATTTAATACTTAATCATACCTGAATTATTTCTCTAGTCGACATCTTTGAATTACTGCGGATAACATTCCAGATAAAAGATTCCTAGTAATAAAAATAGTTTCTATTCTAATACTGTCTAATATATTACAGAAGTGAAAGGCCCCGTTGGTCAAATCCTGTACACAGAGAAGGCAATATTAGCCGTCGAACAAAATAAAGTACTCATGCCTCCCTCGTACAATAAATACGTAGCGTGGGGCTTCGCTGACCATTCACTGCGTATCGGTAACTATGACAACGATAAGGCAGTGTTCGTATGCGAGGCAGTCGCACAAGCGTGTGGAGAAATTGTTACGTGTGTGTGTCCATCGGCTAAAACTATAGTAACCGCTGGTACTAGTACGGTGAGTATATTTTAAATTCAATAGATTTACAACTTTATTTACCCGCTAAATTGAATTGATACTAACAAAATCGAAGAAAAAAAATAGTCCTGTCAAATTGAGTTTGAAAACTTAATAAATTTGGCAACATTGTATGCTTTGTAATTTTACATGCCATATTAATAAAATCAATATCAGGATTAGCCGTGTGTTATAATGGGACCATATCAGATTAGTGGATGTTAACCTATCAATTCCCAGAATTGCGGATGCGATTTACGTAAAACGCAGTATTAAGCTGCGGATGCGAAAAAAAATACACTTATACTATGGAAGTGTGTTAATGGATTGGTGATTTATATTTCTATAAAGGCAAAAAATCTTAAAGCAGAAAGAAGCGTTAAGGGAGGTGCTATGATGTATTGACCTTTTCTGTCGCACGAGATATCACGTAACTGGGAACGTGTTGTCTTGTTTCATCCGTGATATCACGCGCACAGGAACGCATAGATTAACAGCATATATAGCGGTGACCAACGGCTTAACTTGCATTCCAAAACACATAGCAGTGTTTTGGAATGCATGGAATGGAAACTAATCTTAAGGGGCCGTCCAATAATCACATGAGGCTCGAAAGGGGGTTCCTCAAAAATCATGAAATATCACAATGGGGGAGGGGGGTTGTAGTAATATATCACGTATATGTATTTTTTCCTCAGACGCGCGATTACTAAACCGAAAACCGACGTCAAAACTAAAGACTTTTTGTAGGTACTAAAAAATACACGTGATTTTTTAGTCTTAAGCCTCACCATGTCTTACCAAGGGGAGCTGGGATTAAAAAATGTTGAATAAAACATCACGTGATCAATGGACGGTCCCTAATCAGTTTAGCCCCCTAAGCAATAATTTAAGCAACAAACTTCAAAAAGAATAAGGAACATTATCAACACATTTTTGAACGACGATAAAAATTATTGTGTATGCCCACCCACCTGGTTATTTTGATTCGCATTTTGCACCTGTGTATCTATTTCCTGATTAGGTTGTAACGGTGTGGCAATACTGGGCGAGGCGACGGAAATTGGCTGTAAAAGTGTGTTTGTACGGGCACGAAGAAGCTGTCACGTGTTTAGCGGCCAGTCCCGCTTATAATTTAGTAGTGAGCGGCAGTAGAGATGGTCAAGCGATTGTATGGGACGTGGAAAGAGGCGCGTTTGTGAGACAACTGTTGCCGCCTAATAGTGGGCCGTCACCCTCACCTCCTGTCTCCGCTCTCGCCATAGATGATCTTACCGTAAGTACCGTAGACCCAAGAGCTTGTAAACACTGTAAACATATCTGTATCTAATTTCCTATAGTTAATAAAATAAAGTTCAAAATTGCACAGACTGTTTATAACTGATGATGTATATACGCTTTAATTTTGGATTAGGAATATTACTGTTGATTTATTTTTTAACAAAACTATATTGTTTCTGTGTAGTATGTGTTTTGTTATACAGAACTGTAACAGTAACTGACTCGTCGCATACAGCGATAAATATCGTTTTTTTTTGCATCGTTCACATCTATACAAATAAGTAAAATTAGAGTGTCTGATTATAATGTTAAAATAACCGCTTTTTACCAATGTATATGTACGTATACACGGCTCATATACCAAAATATTTTACATTATTTGTCAGTCTGTTTATTCCGGCTATTCTCTGAAACGGCTGTACCGATTTTGACGGGACTTTCACTGGCAGATAGCTTATGTAATAAGAAGAAACTTAGGTTACTTTCCACGCAGACAAACTAGCGGGCACAGCTAGTTTATATTAATATTTTGTTATAGTTTTTTCGCTTGCCCTAACAAGTGACCATGCATTTATTCTTAACCTCTTTTATTATTTTTCGCTACAGGGTGATATTGCAACGTGCAGTGGTAGTTGGCTTCACGCTTGGTCGATAAACGGCGAATTATTGGGCGCGATAGACACAGCAGGGGGACGCGAGCGATCTCAGCAAGTGCTGTGCGCGGCGTTCAGCCAAACAAGAGAATGGGACCCGCTTAACGTTATCATCACTGGATCTACGGACGGCGTTGTGAGGGTAAGGACAGTTTACCCATATTTGTTTAAATACTGATCGCTTTCAAATATTGTTTTCAACTTTGTTATCAACTGCAGTTTTTAGAAAAAAGAGAGTAAACTTAATCCGATGCCATTTGAGTACCAATACGCTAGAGATTATAGACTTTAATGCGTTACGTTCTGCTATTTCAACTTATGACTATAGAGATGAACTTTCACTGAACTTGGGACGCACGTATAATATAATAATAGCAAACGTACACGTCTTGCGCACGTAAGCGCAAAATTGCGATTGGTTTAAAAATCTTTCGCGTCTTTCAAAAGATTCGCACATATATATCTCGGCGTCACTTTTAAACAATACCTTCAGTATCTTTAGATGACGTGAAACATCTTAGTTTTACTATTTTTTTCTGTCTAGAAATGATGCCTCTTTCGCTTGTCTATAATTGTACTATGGATAGTCCCCAAAATATTTTTTTAGTCTATCAACATAAATTTTAAAACTCGGGAGTTTAGCTTGTTTATAATAGTTACTCCAAAATTCTTGTATTCATAATGGGTCTGTAAACCACAAAATAAAACCTTCATTAACAACTTCTTTTTAGATGTGGTCAATAGATTACATCGCTGAAACTATTGAAGAACAAACTGAGAGTATGGAAGCTGTAAGCATTGATCCTGTCTCTAGCTCAACAGACGTCGTTTCTAAACTGTCAGTACAAGAAAGCGAAGATCCGAAATCGGAGAATGAAGCAAACGCTGAGACTGAAACAAAAATTGAGGATATTGAACCAAGCAGGACGGAAGCGACTATAAAGAGGGTAGAAGAACTCGTCAAGCAAATGAGTCTTTCAAAAGAAAACGAAGGTATAGCAAAAATTTTAATTTTAAATTAACCTATTTAGTTTTGTTTTCCTCCCTTGGAAAGGGTTATTAAGCCTGAGTCAGTGCCCTATAGTGGAGACGTTGAACTGATTGTAATAAGAAGTTTATTAAATCATGTTGTTATTTTTGCCTAAATATCATTTAACATTAATCTGAACCTATATTTGGTTATCGGAATGGACAATGCTATTTTTTCACCTTGTTCTCAGTACGGATATGCATTCGATGTAAAACAAATTTTCTAGAACTTTCTAATAAATAGTATTAACAAAATTTCAATTGCTGATTCATTTATTAAAATTCTAAGCAACTTTAAAACTTTAAATTCCTGAGTCATATCTATACTAACATATACGTTTGAGATCGTTTACCCAAAATACCTTCTTTTAGGTGATTTGACGAAATCAGCATCAGAAAGTTCCTTATCAGACGCGTGTGAGACTACAAGCGCAAAGGAATCTGCAAGAAGACACGATGAAAAAGATATTTGTAGCGATAGTGAAGAAGCGCGTCGTTACACAGAGACAGAACAGAGGGACGACGTTGTAGACTCTTGCGACGAGGCCAAACAGGAGTACGATAACGAGAAAGAATGTGAACCAGAAAAGGAGGAGGCAGTTGGTAGAAGCAAATTACAGAAACAGGGCAATGTTGTACTAAGGAGAAAGTCTAAGTGCAATCCTTTGTATAGAAAAAGTAAGTGGATAGCGTTAATTTTAGGTTTGATAAGATTTTTTGCTTATTATTATTTGTAATTTTTAGAAATATTAATAATTATCAAATCTAGTACGAGGCGGGCGTCCTTGTAATAGATTTTACGTCGATTGATTGTTTTTATTCAGTATTTAATACACTATTAAATATTATAAAGAAGCTGATAATTTAATTAGGTCTTACTTAAACAACAGTGATGTAAATGGGATAAAACTTAGTGGGTTTTTTAATTACAGGGATTACGAAAGAACGTTCTTATTTTCGAAAAATACCAAATAATATAATTTAAAAGATTATTAACTAGGTATTTCAAAATGTTCGCTCGGTGTATGTTACAAAGTGGCACCAGTGAGAAGATATACTGATAAGACAGAGAAAGCGATCGATGAGCAGAGTCATCTAATTCTCTGACCCTAACTGGTATTTTGAGCAGAAGCCGTTTTGTTTTGATCTTTGATAAAATTCTAAATTACCGAAAACGTTTTGATTGAAGTCAATGTCAATCAAACAGAAACCAATGTAGATACTTGATGGTAGATAGGCTTGCTGGCCCATCTTGGCACCATACATGAATCCTATTTACTAATTACTATTTACTTATTTAAAATTTAAATTTACCCAAATATTGTTCTATAAAATCCGTTCATTCAAAGGCGGGGGCAGTATAGGTGAATCGACAGAGTCTAGTTCGATGGAGGCGTGTCAGCTGCCTAGTGATGTGGCGCAAGAAGGCGGTCTACGCACGAGCAAGTCCGACACTAGTCTCACAGACTCGTTCGTAGTACTAGCCGCTCCTGAACCTGCAGCTACAAGGCCGCCAGTCAAAACCATCACTTCACAAGATACGGGTATGCGAAAAAGTTATTTTTTATTTAGGCATCAACATTTATTCTGTATTAATATTAACTTACCAGCCTGAAACGGACTTTCCGTTTAAGTTTTAACTTACTATAAAAAATATCAATTGCGCTGATCAGATGTTTATAAGTCTGATATGTAGTTTGGATCAAAATAATAATAAGCTAGACAGTTGATAATTCAAAGATAAAAGTTGTAAAATGTTGCTTGGTTTAATATTAGTTTCAAAATTATTATTATTAGAAATACATACCACTTATATGTTGATAAAAAAGCTATATCATAATAAAAAAAAAATAGTTAAGTAAGGGATTATGCTGTTTTTTTTATTTTATTGATATACATAAAATCTATCTAATAAAATATCATTAGTATAAATTTCATTTTCAATACTTCCCGCGAAAACTGTCATGGCGTCGCTATGTCGTTACAGCACTCTAAAACATATATCGTTCAATGTAAGCATAAGGTTGAATTATCTAAGTTCTGCTAGAGGATCATAACATCACGCGCTGTTTGCGGTCACGTGACAACGAGCATCAAAATATATTTATTTTTCATTATTAATCTAAGCACTATTATAAATATTAGATTGTATAAGACGGGTATTAACGCGATCAAATTTCCGATAGTTAGGTTCTTCACCTACCTATATTTCCCGACGTTTCGACCAGGTTGCACCGGCCGTGGTCACGGGCTGACTGTTTCTGCGATGCTACGTCTCATCTTCTGAAGTGGAATCCACTTCTACCGTCCAGTTTTTTCTCCAGGTACCGCAACACACAACACTAACGGAATCCCTATTCTGTATCGCAGCCGTATTCTGGTGGTCCGGCAATCGCGAAAAGTTTTTTATCACTGGATTCCACGTTGTTGATAATTTGAAACCATCTTCGCGATTGAAATTGCTGGGATGTTTTTTAATTTCAATCGCTTCACGCACAATCCGCGAATAGAAATGACGATCCGCAGAGAGAACCCGTGTCCGATGGAATTCAATCCAGTGGTTTGTGCGACTTTCCAGTAAGTGTTCTGCGATCGCCGATTTATTTAACTGGTGGTTTTTTACAGCTGTGATGTGTTCACGGACTCTTTCAGTTATTGTTCGTTTCGTCTGACCAATATAACAACGACCACAACTGCACTCAATCTTATACACGCCAGGTGTTTGCAATGGTAAAACATCCTTCGGCGTTCCCACGATGTTATTTACCTTTAATCCAGGAGCATATACTGTCGGCACAGAGTAATTATTATCTCGAGCTACTCCGTGCTTCGGAAGGCACGTTAAGCCGTTGGTCCCGGCTGCATTTGCAGTCGTTAATACCCTCCAATTCGCATTGGGCCAGAGTGGAGGGTCATGGCCCATCCTCCTTAACCATCCATAAGGAAGGCCTGAGCCCCTGCAGTGGGGATATAAAAGGGCTGATGATGATGATGTTGACAGAGTAATTACGTAGTACATGGCCAATTTTGTCGGTTACTCCTTTAACATAAGGCAGATAGGCTGGTTATCTTTTAGCCTCTAGATGTCTACTCTTTAGTCTCGGCTGCTTATGTCGTTCGTGCACTTGATATCCATTTTTCTTCAGTACCTCCTGAACATGAGCCAACTCCTGTCCTACATGTTCAGGGTCACACAGAGCATAAGCTCTGTTCTTCAATGAAGTGGCCACGGATTGCAAATGACGGGGATGGTGATGTGACGTTGCGTGTAGGTATCTATCCGTGTGTGTTGGTTTGCGGTAAACACAGTGCGATATGGATCCATCCGGCTTCACAGAAATCTTCACATCCAAAAAAGACAACGTCCTTTCCACTTCCAACTCAAAAGTGACTTTAATTTTCGGATGAATTGAATTAATATGCTGTTGTAGGGAATCTATCTCACGTTCACCATCTTTGATGATACAGAATATATCATCCACATACCTCTTCCAAAGCCGTATGATAGATGGCTTAAAATTCAGCACATTTATTTCAAAATATTCCATTCATATATTGGCAAGTACCGGGGCTACTGGACTTCCCATGGCGACGCCATCAATTTGGAGGTAGTACTGACCTTGGAAAAGGTAGTAGTTCCCATCTAGCCAGTTCTTCAGGAGATCGATATAATTGAGAGGCATCTCTCTTTCTACCAAAAATACCATAAATTGGAATATTAGTGAAAAGTAACTCAACGTCAAAAGTCACCATAATTTCACCTGGCTCTAACGTGAGGCGCTTTATTATCTCCATAAAATGACGAGAGTCCTTTACAAATGACGATGTGTTTCCCGAAAACGGCTGTAGTACTGAGGCAACATGTCTGGCCAAGTCGTAAGTAGGAGAAAAAACTTGACTCACGATTGGTCGCAGAGGTATATCGGACTTGTGCACTTTCGGCAGGCCATAAGTTTTCGGTGGTTGATGTGGTTTCGGTCTGTGAAGATTCTCGTACTCATCCGCTGTGAATAGGTCCTGGTTCTCATGAATGAGAGTCCTTATTCTGCGGGTTACTCTGGCCGTGGGGTTGTATAAAACAGGCTTATATGTATTTTTATCATTTAATAAGTTTTCCATTTTTTGTTCGTAATCAGAAGTGTTCATCACTACGGTGGCGTTCCCTTTATCGGCCTTAAGCACTTAAGAAACGTCGGGAAATATAGGTAGGTGAAAAACCTTACTATCGGAAATTTGATCGCGTTAATACCCGTCTTATACAATCTATTACGAGGGTCAAACTGAAAGTTCTTAGAACTGGCCACTTATAAACAATATAATAAAAAAATAATTCTAAAATTTGAAAATATAACTCTTTGCCAATATTACTGAGTATATATTTCATTCATTTGTCATTTGTTTTACGATTTGGCGGCAAATTGAAAATTGTCTGTGCACGTCATCATGAATTTAACACGAGAAAATTTTCGTGCAATGATTTTTTATGACTTTCGATGTCATTTAAGTCAACAAGAAAGTTATGATAGACTACGATTGGCCTTTCACGATGAAGCCCCATCTCGTGCGACTGTTTACAACTGGTTTAATGAGTTTAAACGTGGTCGCACTAATCTCACTGATGATTTACGTGAGGGACGGCCTTCTACGGCGACGACTGAAGATAACATCTGTGTTGTGCGGCGTATGATAGAGACTGACAAAAGAGTGACCTATCAACAGATTCGGACAAGCTTAGGCATCGGTATGAGTCAAGTGCACAAAATCCTCCACGAACATTTAGCGGTCAGGAAGCTTTGCGCCCGGTGGATACCTCATAATTTGACTGAGGCTCAAAAACTCCATCGTGTGGATTGGTGTCGTAAAATGATTGAAAGATTTAACGGAGGTGACTCAAATGCTGTGTTCGACATACTAACAGGTGACGAAAGCTGGATTTACTGTTATGATCCTAAAACCAAAAGACAATCTGCTCAGTGGGTGTTTCCTTTCGAGGAGTTGCCAACTAAAGTGAAGAGAGATCGAAGTGCGGGAAAAAAAATGGTGGCCTCGTTCTTTGGAAGGATAGATCATTTTGCAACAATTGTGTTAGAGGATCAAAAAACAGTTTCTGCAGAATGGTACACTACCAATTGTTTGCCACTTGTCTTGGAAAAAGTTCGAGAGAAACGACCTCGCAGTAGGATCCTCCTTCACCACGACAACGCCTCGTCGCACACCGCCAAGCGAACGATCGACTATTTGGCGACATCAAACGTTGAATTACTGGGTCACCCGCCGTATAGCCCCGACCTCGCGCCTTGTGATTTTTATTTATTTCCAAAAATTAAAGAAAAACTTAAAGGAAAGCGGTTTATGAATGCTGAAGAAGCGGTGGCTGCGTATCGCGATGCCATTGAAGAGACCCCTAAGGAAGAGTGGGCAAAGTGCTTTTCCCAGTGGTTCCATCGCATGCAGCGGTGTATTGACGTGAATGGACAATATTTTGAAAAGATATAATAAAACTAATAACTGGCTAATGTAATCAGTTTTTGATTTTCTAAGAACTTTCAGTTTGACCCTCGTATAAATATAATAATCATGAAAGTGTGATATAAAACACTACCACTAAAAAAAAATTAATTTACTGTATTATTCATCACTACTGTTTCGGTCTATACTTGATATTATACGCGTCTTTCAGAATCTGGTAGGAAGTGGATGCGTCGTTTGATATTGCGCGGCAAGTTGACGATGCACACAGCGTACGAGAGACGCGACAACGCGTGCCCAGCCGCTGTCACCGCGGTGGCGGCCGCGCGGAGTGGACGCGGTCTCGCCGTCGGGGATGCGAGGGGAAGGGTAAATAGTTGTACTATAGTATTTTTCATCATCATCATCACCAGTCCTTTTACGTCCCTACTGCAGGGGCTCAGGCCTTCCTTATGGAGGGTTAAGGAGGATGGGCCGTGACCCTCCACGCTGGCCCAATGCGGATTGGAGGGTATTAACGACTGCAAATGCAGCCGAAGCCAACGGCTTAACGTGCCTGCCTAAGCACGGAGTAGCTCGAGATAATAATTTTTTGGTCACCCATCCCGTGACCGACCCTTGCGAAAGTTACTTAACGACTACGATCGCGGGCCGCGGCGGTTATCGACTACGCCACCGAGCTACTCGCTAGTATTTTTAGTGATGTGGTATTAAAAATTATGTACGTAAAGATTTTTTATTTAATCAATTTTGAGATCTAATGTAAAAATTGGATTATAGAAAAACGCTCTTTCATCGATAAGATTAACTAGAGTCAGAATAATTACAAAATTTTATTACAGTTAAGTTTAATAGTTATAACAACAATAAATAAAAAATGTAAAATGATTATTGAATGCATAATTTCATTGTAACGATTTGATTGAAACAAATCCCCGTTTAATCCCATTTTTCATTACAAGTATTGATGTTTTAAACTTTGATTTCGGTAATTATAAATGTTAAAAATTGATTTAGCTTTAAATATGTAAATTTAAATTAATATTTAATATATATTCAGTCCGACTATTTTATATTATAACGGTTTTTAATAAATTGGAAATAACAATTGTGTGAAATGGATTTGTAAACAAACGTCACCGTACCCATGCTATGTGAAATGGACTATATACGCTCTTTCATCATCAGCCCTTTTACTTCCCCACTGCAGGGGCTTAGGCCTTATGGATGGAAAAGGAGGATGGACCATAACCCTATACGCTGGCCCTATCCCTGTGTCATATTCATACTAACATATCCATTTGACATTGTTCATCTGAAATACTTTTACCTACTAAGATAACTTACGCAGATTGAAGGGTATTAATTTGCCATGAAGGATTGTAATGTTAGGTTATAATGGTAGTGATGCCAACCATTTACATTATATTGAACTATATAATTAATATTTGATATACATACATATTTGCAGATATTCCGATGGTCAGCACCTGACATGTCTACCGCATCCGGCGCTAAAGGCGGTCCGGCAGATCATTGGATAAGAGACGATACCGCCCCATACTGCACTCAATGTCAGGTTAGTGAACAGAATAACTTATAGATGGAGAGCTGGTGACAAAAATGTCCAAGAGTTTTCTAAAGTTTGATATTTCAGTATAAAATATTGCGTATTTTTATCACGGCTTCTTAGACTGTTATTAATAATTCCATAGGTAGTACTTTTAAACAGTGTGTAGATAAACTACCGTCTCGTGTGATTGGAAAAGTTGCTGTTTTGAAATCGGCCAAGTGTGTTAATCCAATCCCTGCTTCGAAGCCACCATGAAACTTTAGAAGGTACAAATAATTTATTTTATTGTATTTAGGTTCGCTTCACGGCTTTAGAGCGTCGCCACCATTGTCGCGAATGCGGCGCCGTGTTCTGCGGTCGCTGTTCCCGATACGAAGCGCCCGTACGCAGATTGAGAGCGTTGCGACCAGTGCGCGTATGTCAACGATGTCACGACGCAATACAGAATCGTAACTAGCCCGCGTGTTCAGCGGCCAATCAAAAAATATGGCCGCAACTGACTATACTAGACCACTTCACGTTACCATCCCCCTTCTAAGATGTTTTTTTTTCAGCACACTCCAGGTTGTAACCCGATACGAAGGTCAGAATGACTTCGGATTACTACCTGCGTTTAAATTAAGGAATATTACGCAAAACTCGGCGTAGGAGGCAGCAATAGCGCATTTAGTAAACAAACAAAACTTTTCGAATGTTTTGTCTTTTGGATATGAATGCTTCCTTTCCTTATTATACACAAATATGCAGTAATGATTGGATTATATTACACTAATTATAAATTCAAAAAAATTGATATTCCTACTACAGTTCCCATTTATTTTACTCTTTGCTTATTAGTCTGTGGACGTTGTTAATAAAAAACTGTTTACTACATATGCTATCTGCGACACAGAGTTACAATCATACGCCCTATTGACAGTATTGACGTCTAATAATTGATTATATTGTTGACGTTTGCCTCGATTGCGAAATACTTGAATATTAGATAATAATAAAGAGCACAAATAAGACTCGGGTGTTCCCAATTTCGACTTGATAGTCATAATACTCCTTGTTTCGCGGTTTTGTACTAGTGTTGCCTGTCTTATAAAGTTCAAAAAACACCGTGTACAATGTAGTATGTGTAAATACCGCGGCAAGTTTTAAAATCTATTTAAGAGTGGCACTAGAAGGAAAGTGTTATTATTCTTCACTAGAACTAAGAGAAACAAAGGTCCACGTTTTATTGTTGTAAAAATGCTTAACTTTTCACTCCAACTTTAAAACTCGACAATTCTATCAAATTATATTAACCATCAGTGATAGCCATTGATTTCAGCAAGTTTTGGAAGTTCTGGATTCAGCCCCTTGAAATTTGTTTGCGTTAAAAGTAATGTCGTATTATAATTATATCAATTATTACTTAAAGATTTTTTATCGTAATTTATCATGAGTATATAATATAATATCACCTAAAGTCAGTACAAAAATGGGATTTCTCTAATCGATAAGAGGGCATCCGTCGTATAAATGTTTTTGACTTTATATCTCAAAATGCTCAAATCATTTTTACCGTTTTGTATGTTAATTGGATAATTAAAACTTTGCATGTAATATTATTAACAGCTCTATATACTGTCTTAGTATTTCAAAATACACTCCAATGCTATATGAAATAGATTCGTTTATTCCAATAATAACTGATACTGTTATAAAGAAAATTATTATAACCGCAATATAATAGACAAAAATATAACTGCTCATGAGAACTAAGTTTTTTTCGAGTTACTCCAAGGTCACTCTTTATTTAGAGTAAAGAAAAATACAAAATAAGGTATAATTTATATAATGTTTATTAGTAGGGCGTTAAAAGGAGCCTTTTGTATTTTATCTTATTTTGTTTAATTAAGTAAAATTCAATCTAAATTAAGTACTTATAATTAATATGTGTGGTATATGTTTGCAGTAAATAGAATTTCTTATGTCAATAATTGTGCTTGTGGGAGTTATCAAATATGCAGCTATATAATCGCACGACGCTTTATGCGCAAAATAATATTACTTTTTTTATTGTTGCCTAAAGACGATTAGCGGCAAAATAAATGTGTAGGACCTATCTGTTTACTTCCCGCCATTTTCTTTTTTTATTCAAAGTATCAATTATCTTTATGAACTATATTAATTCAATACTCTAAAGAAGTTTTCTAAGCCATAAAAACGTGATGTAAAAATCACTGGCTGTACCAATATATTAGTAAAAATCAAGATGAGCAATTATTATCAATATTAATCATACTAATGAAATGAAAGCAACATTTCAAATGAAATGCTAGTTCTTATTCAGTTTTATATATATCCATTGTTAGCCAATACAATGTTATTAGCAATACGGCGGTTGCTAGATACTTTGATTGGTTAAAATTTTTGAAAAAAAAAACGAACTTTTAGCGTTCTAAAGAGATGTTTCAGCATCTCTTGAGAACGCTAAATATGTCTACATTATATTTTATCGCTCCTATTGAAATGTTCATAAGTATATATAACTAGTGTGTGGTGTCATTTGCTATTTATTTAATTTTTTATATTAGTTTGTCATGAATTATATGAATAGTATTTTCTAGGTGTCTAATGTACTTTTTATTTATTTTTAAGTAATAATTTTGTGTATTTAAGAAATTATATTAATCAGAAACTCCAGGTGAGTCAGACCTTACTTATTTTCTGATAAAATTATATGTGCAATTGAGTATTTAAAGCTTGAATCAATTAGATAAAACAATAACTTTCTTCCTTAAATTCAGACTGTCGATTTTTTACAGAGTAATGTAACGTGAACTCATCTAGACGTGGCTAGAGTCGCATCAGCGTGGCTCTTCAAATAAATACATATTCCCAATATCTGCTCATCATATTATTTTTCTATTTTATTCCATCAGTTTTGACGTCTAGCTGCGTCACCGCATCTAAATCTATTACAATCACTATTTATCACAGACATATTAATGTTTAAAATATGTAAAAAACACAAATAATACTTAATCCCGCACATTTTCTTACTCAAAAAATTAAATAAGGTCTGCGGCTCTAATATTGTAACACTATAGTCTCTGCTATTTCTTCATATTGTGATATGAATATTAGTTGACTAATAATAACGAAGGTACTGAATCTTTATATAATGTTATTTCAATTTTATATTTTTTAAATTGGTTAATTTAATCAAAATAATCAATGTCATATTAACTACATATATCGGAATATATTATTTAAAATTCAAGCCAAATCAGTATTAATATGAGAGTAAGCAGAATTAACTGTGTCGACGTTTAGATCTCATTTTTTTTTCTTATAAATTCTTTTATTTTATATTGTGATCAAATACGATAAGTATTTCACGTCACACAGTCATTGAAAATTTTCTATTTATGTGATACATTATTTAATATTGATAAATAGTATTAGATAATTTTATGTGTAGAATTCATTCCCAAGTTTAATACAATCGAATATTAATTGCGTGAACTAGTCATATTATTTACATACATATATAGTTTTGGTCATTAGAATGTTAAGGCACTGTCGTTACTGTTTGTTCTCGTTGCATTTTATGTGGCATTCCTAATATGTTATGTCAAAAGTTATTTGTACTCTATGCATTATATATTCCAAAGTCTCAATAGCTGGATCCACACAGAGAGATCTAATTCTTAATATCTTGCGCGGCGCAATTGAAAAACGTGACCTAAGTTCGGATTCGGAACGTACTTAATCCACCGCGTGCGATTTATTTATGTTGCTTTGTTGCATGAGGTGTGGTTTAAATTGTAGCCCTTCTACAGCAAACGATCCGTCTCGCGTAGTTTGATCGTCGCTCGGTGTGGATGTAGCTAATAGTTAATACAGATTCATCTTTTATAGTTTCCAATGCAGCTTAAACGTAGCAGCTTTTAGAAATAGAAGACACAAACCTGTTTTAACTATAACAATACAAGTAGGTCTACCTATACCTTTATTATCTACCTACAGGGTAAATTAAAATTTGCTTTTATGACTTGCTTATTATATACAAATCAGCTTGAAAATTCACCAAGGTATGAAATCGTACAAATATAAGATTAATATATTGCTGTAATGAATAAAGTTCCTTGTTTTACTAGCAGAAAACCAGCAACATAATGCAGTATTTGTCAATGAATTTGTAAAAGAACTAACATTGTGAACGTATTTACTGAAATATGACACTCAAAATCCAAATGTAGTTTTCTATATTTGTAAATTGTAGCAGAATTAGTGTGAATAAGATGCATAGAGAAAAAAAATAATTGACGTAATTAGAAAGGCTATATTTAGAAATGATTTCGTCTCTGTAGTAATATATATAAGATAGGCTTAAATATAACTGAATGTTTCTTAGCCACCCGACATGTATAGGAAAATAATTTACAGACAATATATACGTTGTTTAGGTAGTTTGTAGGCACTGAAAGTTTATGCCGTTGACTAATATATTCGTGTATAAATAAAATTGATGCAGCAAACAAAAACTCTGCTGTTTTAATTGCCCTATTTTAAATGTGTGAGTGTGTGTGTGTGTTTTGTATGTGGTAAGAAATTGGTATAAATAAAAATCAACTCATCAACTAAACATAATATTTATTATTTTTCATAATATTTGAACTCTCTGTTATCTAAAATATCTACATTCCGCGCAATTATGTACACGATTTAGACAAAAATAAAATTACAGTAAAATACATAAATAACACCCAATTAATAAATCTTGAACAACATGATTTCGATTCTTAAGTACAGTTTTTTTTGTTCACAGCATAAATTTGTTTTATCAAACATTCATTCACAATATAACTCAGCATATTTTTATAAGCTTCTCTTACCTATGTCACTATTTCATGTACTTTAAGCGTAACGCAAACAGTTAGATATTCACAAAATACGGTGCATCTAAAATATAGTGTGCATTTATTTAATAACATCCATATAAACGACGATATCACAATACGGATTAGTTCTTGTACAAAATGGTAAAGACATACAATAAATAGGGTAGTATGACATCGTAAGTGATATTTCAAATTAAATGTACAATCGCACAATTGGAATTCAATATCTAGTTTCTTTACTTATCTAATCCTGCGTAACCCTTCTTTTTTCGACCAATGCCTATCACTCTTGGTTTTAAAAATATTATAAGAATATCAAACCGTAATATTGAATTTTCACAATACCGATTATGTATAGGTATAGAATAGCATTTGTACGATTGTAGATTATAATTTAATATATATTTAATTTTTTTTATTCACTTTATTTAGATAGAACAGTGTGTACTTCAGTACATTTTTTTATCATAACTATAAATGCATACTCATTCAATTGAGTATATTTTTATGTGACAGGTCTTATAATGTAGAAGCATAATTATGATACACATGATTTTCACTGAGAGGTACATTTATTAAGTACATATTTATTTTACAAATGTAAGTACACGCGTGCAAATATTTTTTATATGCAAAAGGCGAGCTAGTGATATGCGTTTATTATTTTTATCAAACTATAGCTATTCATACCTTTGTAGTAAAACTGGAATGTAAAAAAAAATTAACAGAGTTTGAAACATTAATCAGGACTTGCACAATGTGAGTATGTTAACCAATAACAAAACGTAATTAACATTAACAACTAAACGAAATATAAGATTTACACAAAATTTTACTACCCATCGTGGACGTTTATTTTTTTCTAACATTTTACCCAAAAACAATTCTATGTGTTTTCATAATAAAAAAGTAAAAAAAAAACAGATTCACATATGTAAATATCCTACAAATTTACAATTATATACAAAGGGAAAAATAGATCCAAAACCTAAAAATATATTATTACGTACGTAATATGTTTAACAATAAAATACTGCATTGTTCGATTTAATGTAACACGCTATTAAACTTAAGCGTTCGGTCCTATTTAATACTGCATGGACGATTATCATTATAGTTTCACCTTACCATAAGATACAGAATAATGTGCAACGCAAAAGCACGGTGCGGTTACTCGATGATTAAGTACACATATTACGTAGATAAATATAAGCGAAACGTTTATATCACAACAAGATTTAACATTAAATAATTAAGTGATATTAATACAGCAGCTACACATTTTATTAAGAGGAACGTAATATAAACTATAGCACTATAACTATAGCACGCACATATATGATAATATTTATCAATTATAGTTCATTATCGTTACCAGCCTATTAATATCCCCACTGGACAGACATTCCCTATGAATGAAATCGAATAGAGAAAATAGGCAAAACCGGTGACCGATAGTTAATTAATTTTATATCGTAACGTGTTACAGTTTGAATAGATTTTAAGTGACATCTTTTGCGTTCCTCTAATTATGTCTCTAACGTAGTTATTTAACCATGATTCTAGAACAACTGCTGTATGCAAAATGCTTAAAAAATCCACTTGGTCCCTGGCACCCTGAGATGGGATGGGATGCCCGAACGAGAATACGCTTTGTAGTAGCGAAAAGTAAAAAGTGCTTGAAAGATTCGTCAGTCCTGTTAGGTCCTGGGTAGCTCAGTGGTTAGAGCAGTCGCCCGGGTTGCGAAAGGTCGTGGGTTCGATTCCCATTTCAGGGTGCCAGGGACCAAGTGGATCTTTTAAGCATTTTGTATTAAGAATGTGTTTCAGTACAGCATTGTGAATGCGAAATTAATCAAATATAATAACTGCTGTATGATTTTAAAATGAAGTTTAGTGTCACACAAGTTTCAAATTTGTGCATTTGTACTATTAGCCAACATGTGATGTTATAGTAACATTTAGATCCACTATTTATCTCATGTACAATGTCCATCACATACAAGTAAATTTTAAGTTTGCAATTATCCTATCGATTCAATGCTATTAAATCTTATATATATATATTTCTTCTATAAAACGATCAAAATATATCTCTCAATAATTAAGTTTCACGAGTCCGTTGTACGTTATTCAACTGGCATGGGATTATTTAAACTTAAATTTACTTATATACAATAATACACCCAAACGCATGGGAGCCTGAAAAAATATTTTTAGTAGTCTGTTTTCGTTTCAATTTACAATGTTACAATTTGGGTAAAGATTTTTTTAATTTTTCGCGCGTCGTTTATAAACGAGAACTATAGCTGGTAGAGCTATAAATTACTCCAATCATATTCCGACATTCCTTAATAACTTATAATAGGGCTTTGTCCGTATATTCCTTCAGGAGAATCATAACATTTTCATTAGTACCAAAATTTAGAACCCAACCTCTGACTGATAACTAACATTTCAAACGTACCAATATAATAATGATCGAGAAATTAGAAATATAATTTTATATAGCAACATTGTCATAGTTTTAATTTCTCAGAAAGCACCAGAGCAACCTGTCGTCAATTTTAAGAAAATCGTGCGCCGCACTGATATTTTGTTTCATTGCAGCAGTTTTTAAATATAATAAGTAAATTGCCGTTTTCGTTTTCCACAAAGAATTATAATTTAATTACCAAATACAGTTCAGTTTCACAGTAGTCGTGCTATTTTCCCTACTAATTTCCGACCATCGATAGTTTTTTTTTAGATATAACTTAGCGTTTTTTATGAGCTTCTTGTACTCGCATATATAACATGGTTCTTTTTCCTATTAGGATTATTATTAATGCCTATAGTAGTTTCGTGATAGAAACGTGTACCAATCACATAAACGAGTACTATTGCCGCAACCGATAAACGATATACCGGTTTCATGTCACGACCGATACCTGTTGCCTCGTATCGCAAGATTCGTCCATGAATTTAAGAAAAGAACGTAATAGGTTAGAGGACTGAATCAAGTTCCAAGTGTTGAGGTGTGGACTATTTCACTTCTTATAATGGACGTTCAACTCGCACATTCAAATTTATGAGTCTTGTCCCAATAACCATAAGGTTTAAAATACAACACACTGGATATCCGTCTCACATTCAGTGGGAGTCAGATGCGTACCCAGATGGCGCGATACTTCAATAAGTGATTGGATTGACATTTGCCGCGCTTAGAATAGTAACCTTCTGCCATTTCTGCGTAGGAACATAAGTGAGCCACATCAATTGTCTACTATACGACGTAACAATCCATTAAACGCGTCAGTGAATTTGAAGAGATCTGCTTACATCGGCGTAGGGGTAGGTAGAAGGGATAAGTCAAGTGATATCCGGCGTAACTGGCGGCGCTATCGACAGTGCCTAATTAGCGACTGTTGTCTATAACCATACGACCGACTAGACGCGTTTGTGGATTGAAAAAGAGATCCGCTTACATCGGCGTGGGTGTAGGCGTCAGGAAGGGATTAGTCGAGTGATGTCCCGCGTAACTGGCGGCGCCATCGACAGTGCCTTATGAGCGACTGTTGTCTATAACCATACGACCGACTACACGCGTTTGTGAATTAAAAAAGAGATCTGCTTACATCGGCGTGGGTGTAGGCGTTAAGAAGGGATTAGTCGAGTGATGTCCCGCGTAACTGGCGGCGCCATCGACAGTGCCTTATGAGCGACTGTTGTCTATAACCATACGACCGACTTAACGCGTTTGTGAATTAAAAAAGAGATCTGCTTACATCGGCGTGGGTGTAGGCGTTAAGAAGGGATTAGTCGAGTGATGTCCCGCGTAACTGGCGGCGCCATCGACAGTGCCTTATGAGCGACTGTTGTCTATAACCATACGACCGACTACACGCGTTTGTGAATTAAAAAAGAGATCTGCTTACATCGGCGTGGGTGTAGGCGTCAAGAAGGGATTAGTCGAGTGATGTCCCGCGTAACTGGCGGCGCCATCGACAGTGCCTTATGAGCGACTGTTGTCTATAACCATACGACCGACTAAACGCGTTTGTGAATTAAAAAAGAGATCTGCTTACATCGGCGTGGGTGTAGGCGTTAAGAAGGGATTAGTCGAGTGATGTCCCGCGTAACTGGCGGCGCGATCGACAGTGCCTAATGAGCGATTGTTGTCTATAACCATACGACCGACTAGACGCGTTTGTGGATTGAAAAAGAGATCCGCTTACATCGGCGTGGGTGTAGGCGTCAGGAAGGGATTAGTCGAGTGATGTCCCGCGTAACTGGCGGCGCGGCCGGCAGTGCCCAGTGCCGGGGCGCGGGCCACTCGGCCCAGCCACGCGTCCGGGTGAGGCAGCGCGGTGGCCGTCACCGGCGCCACCGCCGCTACCGGCACTGGCTCCTCCGCTTCGGCTAACGCGCGCAACCCTAGCGACAGTTGCTGGCACATCGCCGCCACCGGGTCGTCACTAGAGCTCTGCAAATACGTTAGGGATGTCATAAATGAAAAAAAAAATAGATATTTATTAAAATATCAATATTAGCATTGATATATCCAAGGAAAAATATCGATACATGGATTAAATCGCAATGTACACGAAAGTATTTTACCAGTATTCCTTTTTATTACACAAAATTACAAAAATATCAAAAATATGTTATAGACAATAGTTTTTTTTCGTTCGATCCTGTCTTCTACAGTTTCGGGATTCAGCGACTTCAGTGCCATAAGAATTAAAAAATATCGTTTTCAATACTGGATATTTTGTATCGATATTTCGATACATCGGATCAATATATATCAGTTAAAAATGTCGATATATTGAATTCAAAATATCGATGTATCGATACATCATGTATGATACATCTTGTAAAATAAACTTTTATTATCGTTGTTGCCCAAAGTTTCTTGGCTACTTGACAGTTAAAACTAACTTCAAATAAATTGAAAGTATACTTTATTATTGCAGAATTAACTTGAGATTTTTAAATCTGTGGATTATAAGAAACGCAGCGCGAGCAGCCATGATAGAGGGCAGTGTAACGTCATATATCAAACTAAACGTCAACGTTTGCATTGCGAATGCAACGAGTTTATTAAAGTGTGACGTCACAGCTCAAAATGTCACGTGTCAATTTTAAAGTGCAATTAGAATATATCAATACTGAATAAGTGTTAAATAATACTTGACGAAAGTTATTAGCGTTCGCTAGTGTATCCCTTTGCCAACAAAGGATTACCAAAATAGTTACAGCAACGAAAGGAACCCCTGTACTGTTGTCATAACATGTTAGTGTGACATAAATAAAATATTTTTCCTTAATTACCTCAATTAACAGTTTTTGGAGAAAATAAATCTGATAATGATCATATGAACATTTTATAATAATTTTCTCAATAAAGTCAAGTACACAAGTACATGTTGAGATTGTAGACGAAAATGTATACGATACCTCTACAGGTGGTACGTCTGGTCTGACGTTGTTGGCGGCGGGGAGGCCCGCGGGCGCGGGGGCGGGGAACCCTCGCGGGGGGGAGCCGAGCCCCGCCCGTTGCCGCTCCAGATTCGACGGTAACTCGCTGATGCGGAGCGACATTTGACGTTTGAACGGCGAACTGGACAAAACGATACGAAAATAGGTTTATGTAATTTTATAATATATAACAATTAATATTATATATATAAAATTTTCAGTAGAAGTTTTATTTTGTTAAAGTAAGACCATGTTAAATAGCTATAAGGAATAAAATACGACACATATGGTAACAGTCGCACTCTACGAGGATATGGTGCTATTTGAATTATTCGAAGAATGAGAACTCAACTGAGACTGAACGCAGCCCGTGTAGAATATGAAATTAGTAGGTAATGTACGAAAGCAATTTTGACATATAATATACTAGCTGTTTTCCGCGACTTCACACGCATAAATTATGATGCCTATGATGTAGCTTCCAATTGGTGAAAGAATTAAATAATAAATTCAGTCTAGAAATTTCGGAGATTATTCGATGCAAACAAAAAAAAAAGACAATCAAGTCACTCTTCTTCATAATATTAGTATAGATAACCAGAGCGAGCGCAATCGTTCGATATTCTCTGTAAAATAGGCAGGCGTTCTCGAAGCCGAATGCGGTTCGTAGGTTTTGAGATAAAACAATCTGCGAGCAAGAGTGAAAAAATTTAATTTGAAATTTTAATTTAGTTTTCTGCGTTACAAACAATTTCAATCTAAAGCATTTAAGAGCTAATTATAAGCGATTTGTTCACTTAAAATTAACTCTTAATAGGGGTGTAGACAACTTTTTTAATATTTATATTTTTTAGATATACATTAAATACATCTAAAAAAAAGTATTAAAAATATATATATAATTCATACAATAAGTTAAAATCTAATAATTTTCAGTATTTCCAGTGAAAACACCACATAGTTATATATGTATACATAAGATTGAAGTCTCTGGTATAAGTAAGAAGGGCGTGATGACGTCACGCGCTGCTTGCGGTCACGTGACAACGAGTATAATATGTGTTTTTTCATAATTAGTTTAAGCAATATTATAATTATAATAACTATAGAAGTGTGTAAGTATAGAATTATCGATAAGAATATATTAAACACTACAAGGAAAAAAAACGTATTTTTGTTGTTTACTGTATTTACTGTAATGTACTACACCCGTATTGCATGTGTCAGGTACACGGTATTGCTTCGACGATATGTGAATGTTTCAACGCGGTTACCTGTTGTTGAGGTGCGCGAAGCCCCTGAACGAGCCCTGGCGCTCTAGCAAGTGCGGGGCGGCGTGCGGTCGCTCCACGGCGAACGGATTGTGCGGCGTCGGACGCGGCACCGGAGCCGGCGCCGGAACCGCCGTGCTCACGGGCGTAACAACCGGCGACGGAGACACGTCCGCCTCCGACGCGCGTCTACCTATTACTGTGCAAATAATAAATTTTTATTAAACGACGTAAAGATGAGAGGAGTTCGAAGTAATGGACCAATTACACGAGACCGTTAATGAAACTGATTATTTTCAATAACTTTAAGTTTTTTATTTTTCACAGGACATAAAGTTTTAGTTTTGATCAAACAGCTATGAACTGATCTTTAAAAAAAAGCATTGTGATTTCTTTTTAAAACGTTTTGAGACGTGCTTGACTTTCAATACTCGATTCAGAAACCGGGTATACGTCCAGTAAGACTTTATCCTCGTATAAATGACGACAATCCTCAAGTCAGTTCAATGAAATAGTACAATTTCTAATTTTACTGGACTGATTTGATTATCTCGTGTAAACGGTCTATATCCATAACACATTATTATTTAAATAACATAATAACGAGAGAAGTTCGAAGTAATGGACCATAAGTCGGGACATGTATCCGGGATAGTCCAATAAAAGCCAGTAGTGACCTCTTGGGAATGGAGACAAGCCATTGATCAGGTCAGTCCAATAAAATAGAACGATCTCTAATCTTAATGTAACGGCTTATTGGATTGTCTCGACTATTAGCTTAGTGTAAATTGTCCATAACAGATTATTATTTAAAGGAGTTCGGTGGCTGAGTGGTTAGCGCGTCCATATTTGCGTTATGGAAGTTGAGCAACTTTCTCGAGAGTTAATCTTATCATGGGTGACCAAAAATTTTTTATCTTTGAATCCTCTATGCTTCGGAAGACATAGTGAAAAGTATAATACAAAGTGGAAAAATTATACCATTATATTTTTCTATACACAAGGCATCTTAAATTTATAACATGATAAATAGACTGTGTCATATCATAACCCTTAGAATGTTATATGACGTAGAATAAAAAATCAACAAAACTAATCGAAAGTAATGAAATTGGTTTACGTGCTCTCTTAACTAGATTGCAGGATTTTCTATGAATACATTCAATAAATTCATTATTTTAAATTCCACGTAATAAAGCTCATACTGAGTTTTGTTATTGTGTAATGGTGTTTGCAAGTCTAAAATAGTATATAAAGCCTTTAAAGCGATTTCAACGATATTTAACGCACACACGATAATCACACAGATGCATTATTTGTATATGTAATGGACCAATTGATAAATTGAGCATTATACATAATGCCCGGTTATATTATAATTAAGTTGACCGGGCATTATACATATTGTACATTACCTTTTGGGCTGAGTAATACAAAAATTTTTAATTAGTATCTAATTTTCATATTTACTATAACTTTTTTTATAATGGGCTCACTTGGACTTCGATCTAGCCCAAAGACAAATGAGAAAGCAAACTAAAAGAGAATCCACTAGTTTTTTGCATTTATACCTATAAAAAGTAATATTAATAAAAACGGGTAGCGAAAAACATAATATTAAAAATAAAGATTTGAAAACATATCTTTGCATGTAACATATGTTTTATACAAGTTTTGACGGAAGCACTTTAGAATCAGCGACTACGCCAACGTGCGTCAACACACCTTTCCTACCACACACCAAAGCGCGGAGAAGCATAGTTAAAAAGAAAAAGAAAATTTTTGTTTCTATATTATACTGATAATTAAAATTTACTTTATAGGCTTTATAGTTTCTGGCAGATTTTTAATTAGCTTGACTCTAGTAAATATAAGCATCTTATAGTAAACCGTGGCACGCGTTCTTCCCTGCCGGCACTGCATCAAATTTAGATTTATTATAAAATTACCCAATTCTCATAAAGCAATATAATAATGACCAAGCAATGTGATAAATAATGAAGTTTAGATAGACATTAATTACTTGGCGCGATAAAGCTAGAAATTATTCATAATGCTCGCAAATTATTAACAATGCCCACATTAATAACCTGGTCCATAACATATACACACTATTTAGATGAAACGATACTAACAAGAAAACACACCTATGAATTTAATTTAAATATTTTTTTTTCTAAAGCATGTCACAAAAAAGGTTAGATAGCAATTATATTATTATCAGTTAGATCACGCATTTTATCAAATTTTTCGACCATTTCTATTTGGTAACACACAAACCTTCGCACGTGTCGTTTTCTTCAACACTATCTTCGCGATCTATAATAATAATGTTGATATAAAACTACACTAATGCTTAATTAAAAATAAAATAAAACTATAAATAAATATTCATCAATTATATAAATAATAATTTCATTCATTCCAGTAGGAGAACCGTTATATGAAACATTTATAATCAAACACTCCTTCGAGTAATTGAAAAAAAAAAGATATTTCGTTTTGTTAAAGTGTCTGTACCTGTAGGTCCTAAAGTACTTATCCGATTTTCATAAAACATAGCTAAGAACCATCGCTATGAACAAGGTGACAACACAGACAGACACGTCAAAGTTATAGCACTCCCCTTTTTACGTTGGGGGTTAAATCTATATAAAGACTAATCAAATATAATTTAAAAATTACATCATAAATTTTCTGGCACGCTAGTGATAATTTTAATAACCTATGTAATACTTTTAATAAGGCAAACAATGAATTAAGCAATGTCTTTTTCAGCTGGCAATTCTAATTGTATAACTATGTCATATTTTCAAGGATCTCGTAATCGGCTGTCTGTTTCATAATATCAATATAATTTCTGATTGTTAGCTGTACGTCTTCCTAAGATGTGATAAATAAATAAATGAAAATAAATCAGAAAAAGACACTCAAATCATTAACAATGCGCTGAACTAAACATCAATTGATTATTCTGTCGTCCAATACAAAAAAAGAAGACCTAATAAAATAATATTTTCATTTATTACACGTAAATCTTATTGAACCTACAGATTCTCTTGAATAATGTCATCAATATTATGTGATTCGTCGATATCTACAAACAGTCATCGTTCTTATACGGATTTCCTTCATATGTTGTGCAAAATAATTCTGTGTAATACCGTGCATTACGCATAAGGAATTACCTAGCAGGCAAATTTGTAATCAGCTTGTGTTTACTATACGAGACGTAACTAAATAAGCGAAGTCAAGTCACGTTAAGATAAAAACAAACTTAATGTTCCAAGAAAGATATAGACCTAAAAATATATTAGATACATAACCTCCCTTCCATAAAAATACCCTTATTACAGATACGTGTCATTACGATCATTATTTTACTTAACATCGATATTAATTTAGTATCGACATAAGTACATTCGTACGTCGGTCGTTTGTTAAAAATTGATAGGTTTGTTTCTTGCGCCCATTCTTCTTATAAGCGAATAGTTTTTGAATGGGATATACTTACATTTAAATAGAATTTTGCTTTTGGTTCAGCACGAACGCCACGTATTTGATCTATCACGTTATTATTTTATCATGCCCATGAAATATACTATCACAACTCTATACAATTTATTATACATATTTTAATAAGACGCAGGAAAAAAGAAAGAGAATTAATTATTATGCGTCACATACATAGTTACAACGTGTAGTGGTACAAATTTCCCAAACAAATAACAATATCCGCAAATGAGTAACGACTAATGATTTCACGAGAGAGTCTCACCTGATTTGCGGAAGGAGCCTTGCCTGGTGAAGGCATGGCTGGCGGCATCGATGCTCATAGAGACAGCACACTCCTTGTCCCGCCGCTGTTTCCTTTCTAAACAAGCGGCGAACGCGCAGCCCACCGCGTGCGATAACCGCTCGCCGCTGTCGCGAGACGCGAGGAATCCATGGCACATCCAACGGCGGGTGGTGCCGTCACGACATATATAACTGAATGAGACAAACGTTATCGACGTCAGAACTTCGAGAACATTCCATGATGTTGATCAAAACTTACAAACAATTCCCTTGACTGGCAATAAAAAGATTTTAGGCAAATATTCCACTGGTACTTCTAATTATTTTTGCAAAAATATTGTAACATGATATTACGGAACTTACCTAAATCCCCTTTCATGGTTTCTGTCTGGCGCGCAAAATGAAACCTTTTCAATAGTCTGATCGACAATAAGACCCTTCGTTTCTTCTTCCACTACCCTTAAACCATCGCCACTAACATGAAGCACTGCCCTAACAGGTCGACGACGTGAATTCTGAAAAGAGAGATAATAAAAGCTTTAAGAGTTAAATTTTAATTTGAGAGGAATTATATATTTGTGGTTTAATAAATAATTAATAGCGTAGCGTTCAAGAAAATACTTTCAGGAATAATTAGATAATCATCCTTGAAACATCTAGCCAAAACAGGAAATTTGGAGAATAAAATGATGAGGAAATTTGGAAAATAACGTGTAGTTGAACCAAACATTAACTAATATCAACTGTGTCAACTCACCCTAAGAACTTTGAGAGCCTCTTCACAAACTTGCATTCCCCTCGATTCAAATACCTCTACGCAACCGAGGTATTTCACTGGGAAAGTGCATGTACCAGCGCGCACAGCTGCCTCGTCCGCATGCCATTGGTGTGGGCGTGCGGATTCTGGTGGCGAGCCTTTCCGGCGACGAAAGGATTCACGGAAAGACCTTCGTAACCGCTCCATACCGGCACGCGGCGGCGACAAAGCGCCGCCTGCGCGCGCGCGCCGGAACGAGCTCCGAACTGATGACTTCTGAAAAAGATAAACGTGCTGGTCACTAAATGGAGCTAGAAACAGCTCAAAATTCTACAGAAAATAACTAGTTTATGTGAAGAACTTGATGATCAGTCTGTAATTTTTCAAAGGCAAAAAAACGGATTTTCTAGAGATCCTTCGATCTTTGGAAACCACTTTAATATATGCAAATTTAATTAGCCTAAATAATGGACACACTGACATTGTACATGTACATGTCGCGATAGCTTTTACAAAAGATTCATGAGATATATCATTGCAGCTCTTATTTGTGGGCTTAACTTCGATTTCATAAAGGCAGAAAATTGCAATCATAATTGAAACATAATTTAATATAAACAGCAGTGAAACTCTGCAGGCAGTTAAATAATGATAAGAGACATTATTATCATATATCATTATCGCTGTTAAAATATTTTAAAATATAGTGACTCCCATTCAATAAATAATAAAAAACTTTAATGTGAAATTATTAGTTCAATTTTATATAAGAACAAGAAAACATAATGGTATGAGTCTGAACAACACACTAACATAGACTATGCAAGATAAACTCGTAATAATATTCTACAACAATATTCAAGGAAATTCAGACTACATCTATCATGTTTACTTATAACTAAATAGATGGAATTGTGTTAGATCCCAAATGTCCCACTTGTTTTCAACATTTACATTAAATTATGCCAGCGAATGGACTTCTTTAGTCCCTTTAATTTGAGATGTGTTTTTAATAGTAAGGTTGTAGACAACTTTTTTTACATTTTTGTTTTATAATTATAAGTAATAATATAATTTTTATACAAGAGAAAAATATTGAAAAAGTCAATCATATAATAAGTTAAAATCGATATATAAATGTAATTTTCGAAATTTTCCGCGAAAACGGCACTTCTGTCCTGGCGTCGCTATGACGTCAAGGCACTCAGAAACGAGTATCGTTCCGTTACACCCGTATTGAGAAGGCAGAGGAATCTATGTCTTTGGAACGTAATCTTTGTCAAAAACTGTTTGTCCATCAATTATGTTCATAGAGGTATTTCATTATAAATAACATTTTATAAAATAGAAAAAACGGAAATTATGATCCTACGTATTTTAATAATCGTATATACTGACTGACTAACAGCATAAACTTTGAGACAAAAAAATTAACCGAAGTGTGTATTTGGGTTTAAAATAATTTTCCTAATAATAATTTGTGCACTAAATTGTGCGTTAGTAATACTATACAAATTTCTTCACTTAATTTTAAACCTTAATTTTTGAGCAAAGAGTTTGAAACCGACTGGAGACATGTGACATAAAACAATTTACTTAGTAAGCGTACCGACTTCGTAACCCTTTTTTGGCGATTATCAATTAAAATACAGATAATTGTGACAAACCACTCTTTGACAGAAACCAGAGAAAACTCAAAGTAACACTTCTTAATAACCTAGCACAATAAAAACAGCACGACCTTCCAATATTATTGTAATTTATGCACGAGTTGCTATGAGGAAAATCCGTTACCAATAAATTATATAAAGTTAAAGTACTTTTTGGATTGAAGGGAAACTGAAAACAAAGATTTAATATTAAAAATATATAAACATATATATAAGATATTCCAATTCTGTTTATTTAATTAATAGTATAAGCGGAATGTGATGATACAATTACCTATTGTCCTCGTTTGTTTTATTTTATTTTTTTATCCAATATAACACGTGAAAGAAAGGTGCTATAACTTAACAGATTAAGTACAACATATAATTAAGACGTGGGATCGCATCGCTGTAGTGATAATGTGATAACGAAGATAAGATTACGCTTAGGACACTTAGCACGGGTGTTCATAGTAATTAATTCACCTAATAAGACACATTATAACGCTTTTACTTTCGTAAAATTTTCTGATTTTTTTAAGGGCGAATAGATTATTGCAGATACTTATCTACATATCAATATAAACAATTTCATGACATAATTTATAATAGCAATAATAGTTTAAATAATCAGGTAGGCGAGGGTTATGCTATTGGCAATGGAGAATGTGGAATTTTCAATTTTAACTAGGTTTTACATTTAAATACATCTGATGAGATCAGGGTTATCGAATATTGGTAAAATCAGGGTTTTCCAATATTAGCAATATATGCAAAAAGTACTTAAACAATGTAATTTGTTTTTCCGATAGAAAAAACGACACAAAAAATAAAACTACCAATTTCAAGTTCAATAATATTGGAAGATAAAAAAGTATCAACAAGGTCTCACACTTAAAAAAGAAATCCGGCAAGGTAAGGGTCATCGTTGTTGAAAATAATATAAACAATGACCGTGGCTTGAACAGAAGCTTAACAGGAATGCTCCTTCACGATGATTCAGTAGGGAAACCTTACGCAGTCGTACGTAACGTAAGACTTAAGAGACACTTATTGACGAAAAACATATACCCACGCATACTTGTAGCAATTCTTATGGGCCCCGTATTTATCTTATTATTATCTTTCCGCTAACGGTTTCTCCCGCGTGGTTTTCTCGTTTTAGCAACATTTTTCATTGTTGCTCCACTCCTATTAATCATAACGTGATTTTATATAGCCTATAGCCTTCCTCGATAAATGGACTGTTCAACACAAAAACTATTTTTCTGAGAAAAGCACGTTCATCCAAAAAAAATCTTCAGCTTTACAATATTAGTAGATAATATTTTTTCTTAAATATTCCGCACATTTATTGTGTCTGAAACACATTATTTAATTTGGTATTAATATCGTCGAACTCGTGCCATGATGTACAAGCTCATGTGAACAAAACGCATATGTTCAAGTGTCATATTAAAACGTATAAGTGGACACGTTTCAAACTACATATGATATGTAAACAATTCTTTGGAACTATGCTATCGGTGTCATGGAGCTTGCTTCCCAAGAGCTATTAGGCGTTAAGTCCCTTTAGTGGTGACACGTGACCTACGCCGCATTCGTCCGATTTATGGTACGAGTTACGACAGTAAATTTCACAATAGATAAACAATTAGGCAAGCAGACTGTTTGACGAATTACTAGTTACATTAGAACCATATGTTTGGGTTGCTTTCTTCAGAAATAGAAAATAAAAAGTAGGTCAGTTATCATGGCTTAAACTTATTAACTTGCCAGTGGGTAATAAAAACTCTATAGATACAGATACCTTAGCAAGTCGCAGAAATAGTGTCTCTCTCGATGTTTACGTAATAAGTCAGTTTGTAGTTTCTATCAAAGTTTAGATGGAAAACTGTTTGGATGTGTTGATTGCTGCTCGGAAATAATTTCACGGTCGTTACCTATTACTAAGTTAATTAACAAGAGCTACGAAATGGATAACGATGAATTGAGTAATTAAATTTCGAAGAATATCGTCATATTCTTTAGTTAATAAAATTGTAAAACCAGTTATGAAAACCCGTCGATCGGCTTTGCTAACTTATTTAATTGGCAGTTATATTTGAAAAATTAGACGAGATTTTTAAGATATAGCTTTTGAAGAGCGTATAAAAACAAAACTAGAGCTGTCTATTCAACAAACAAACCAAAAGTTACAATTAGAATTTCATAGTTTATGGCCTGTAATCAAATAAGGGATCCTTGAACAATAACATTTAGTTTGGCCTGAGTCTCCTATAGTGATTCAATATGACGAATAATGAATAGCTAATTTTGCATAATTAAATGAGTTTCGAACCATTTTGAAGTCTGCGGCGCTCGTAGGAATTTGTGCACGATCGAGCGGCTCGTGCGGTGAGGACCCTTGATTCCCCATCTTGGACTTCGTGTTCTGATGCCAACTTCCAGATAAACACTTCACAAAACTTTATTCATACCAAATCACTAGGACACTCAAGATTCATCGCTGCCCACATACACACGCGTCATCGAAAATATTTTATCATTAATTCATTACAATTGCATCCGTTCAATAATTACGTCTTTATCACAACACCTTCTTTGTGTTCACTACATATAACACATAAGAAAAATAGTCCACCTTTGATATAGTATCCGTGCCATAACAAGATAAAAATTTTGACGGTGATAGAACTCAATAAACATAGCAAAGCTAAGAACAAATAATTTTAGTCTTTATATCACTTCAACGTTGTCGTGTTGCGTATAAAAATAAAAAAAATACTAGCGCTTTACGGAATAACTTCATATCATTACTTATCATATTCACTATCATATCAATGATTTAACACTGCGACACCTGCAGAGATTTAGAAAGACATAGCATCATACTTAGGCAGCGCTAATCGAAGATGCTGTCTCAGCAACTCGTGTGAATTCGTTAACAATAATTTTTAAAACGGGGGTCAACTTTTCCCACAAACGATGAATAAACGCAGAGAGGCGCATTGAACCCGGCACCCGGCACGAGGGGGGAGAGAGGTTAGGTAGTTAGCTGGGAACGACTGCCGATGCCAGCTGAACGTTATTTTTTCCCACAGCATTGTTCTTTGGACCGTAGCGAACAACAATTGCAAAACTGATCAACTTCTTTAATAATTATCACTAAAACTGATGATTTGCCGTAGACACAAACACAAAACTACATTTTGACTACAGGAAATATTTTAGGAATGTTGAAGCAATTGTCAAATAGAGGCGCGCGCGCCGCGCACGGTGCGGACAACTGTCGTACTGACGGGCCGAACGAGTCACGGCATGCGGCATGAATCGCACAAACCCTGCAGCGTGGTCCCCGTCCCGACCCGCTCCACCCCGCGAGACCAGTCCTTTGCATTGTCAAGATTGACGACCGCTGAGATCATCATTCCAATACTCGGCTTAATCCGAATTCGATTATAATAAAATTGAGCACACATCACATCTTCAGTTTTAATTTAAATACAAAAGATGACTATTGGATTTTAAAATTTAAGTGCAAAATTACCAAAATCTAAGTAAGAGGTTTTATTTCCCAAAATAAAATAATCAATGTTATATTTTGTATAGTAAAATATGAGACTATTCCATTTGGTAAGCATGCGCCGCAACATCTGGAAACAAGTAAGCACGTGCGAGAGGGACGGACGCAGGTGCGAATGTTGGAAGCTTTGTTATTGGCTCCAAACATATGCCGTGTTTGAGAGCAAAAACTGCATCATACTCTATTTTTAAAAAGGAATTTCCCTGATATATCTTACAATAAGTTCAGATAGGAATGTCGCTTTTTAAAAACATAAATTATGAGACTTGAAACTTTCTTTTCGTATAGTCTGACTAATCATTACTGACGACTGAGTCACTAACTACTTATTATATTTTACTGCTCAGTATCTAAATTTTGGTAGTTTTAAACCTAAAGCAACGCAGTGAGCACTCTACTTTTGAGGTTCAGAGTTCTAGATAGATAAGGCACATACTTTTTCTTCAACATTCTTGTGTTGAAATTTATGGGAGAGATGAGGATACCCGTGACTCATAGCTACTTACATCACAGACCGTACAACTTGGAATAACACTAACATTTCACACACGTTGAAATGTGTGTTCTATTTTCAATGGAACGCGTCATAGTAAAATAGATAATTGCTACAGTTGTAAGTACTGGTATAGTCGCTTACATTAAGATAAAGTAAGTTAACTTCTAATATCCTTATTCTACTTTTAACATAGACTGTGGAAACATCAAATACCTAGTTATTGTCTGTATTCTTCCTGTACTATTTTTGTTTAGACAACTCTGTTCGGCTCTATTAAAATTCTAAAGTCTTGTACTCCGTCAATTTTATCATTAAAGTCAATTTGTCCCTTACAAAAAGAAGCTAGGACATTGACATAGTTCCGCCGTCAGCTACCGTAAAATAATGCCATTATAATGTCTACTCCGCTACAATTTCCGTCAACTCGTTCATCCTGTAACGGGGTACCGTTAATCGGCGCACGCTTCGCCATATTTCACTAAATTTGGATGGTCGACAATAAAACTAACAATGCAGTAAATGGTAGTTTGAACGATCAACTCGTTAAGTAGAACGTGACCACCATAGCCTCTTAACAATTCAACAGAACAAATAGAGACAATTAATAATTTTGTCTACTATTTTAACGGACTTCAAAATCGAAATGGAGGAAGTTATATGTTGTATTATGCGTTTTTTTTTTTTAAATCTAATTGTAACATTATGTGATTTATGTGTGACACCGGAAACGGTATTTACTCGTTGTTTAATTTGAATTTTCAGTTTTAACCTATAAAACTATAATCTGCTTTTTCGATTCCTGTACAATGTTCAAGAATGAAAATAAAAACAACAATGAATCTTTTGCTACATGCAGGCATGCATTATGCAGCTACACAATGATAAAAATTAGCAGCAATCGTCATTGACCTAAACAAGCAATTAGATACTGAATCATGTGTCTGATCTACTAATTTGTTATGACTCAGTTCTCAAGGTATGCACTGATATGATCGATCACGTATCAAAAGAAAAAAATATGTTATTGGCATTGGATAGGCATTTACTGACCAACGAAAGGCACGGGCGATTAATTCCGATTTTATGATATGTAAATATTTTGTTGGACGTTATTAGTTTTGTGGTAAACACATTATTACTTCCTTTAACTTTTTACTAACATAATGCGTGTGTTACAATATGAGTGTATTTAAGTTCGTGATAGATTTATTTTGTAACTGGTTCGTAGCCGGCTCTGTGATTAACGTTTTACATTTGTGACGTATCTTTCGAATCATGTTCTTACAAAAATGTAAAACGACTGTAAGTATTTGGATACATATTTAGGAGACGAAAAATTTACGCCTTGAGCTGATGACTTAGGATACCGCAATAGGATAACATGGGATTTTGTCATACGACTGTATTAGTCCAAGCAATGAAACTAGAGAACAAGAATGAGTTAGCTTTCTACAAATGAATCTTCTTTATATTACAATACACAATTAATAAACCTTCTGAACAAGACAGAAACACAAGCTTTCAAAGATGAATGAAATTATTGAAAAAAGTACACTATGACTCATGTAGGTTTCTTACAATACAATACGCCACAGGCTTTTCCAACCACCTTTATTTCCTAAAATAGTCGTTTATTGATTGACAGACGCTTATAACTACAGAAACTAGGCGCATAGAATAGTGGACACATATTGATTAAAACAAAGGCAGACAAAAATACTTCTAGATACTATATTATTCCTCACATATTCTTGATATATAACAAGGTAGTACTTTGCAAAATGTCAAAACACCTAATTAATATTTATATCACAGAAATCAATAAGGAACCCTTTTCGGCGTGAAACGGACAACGGTGTTTTGTACGTACATGGAGTTCTGTAGGTGTACTTTGTTCTTTATAACGGCCAATGGACTATCTGTGGCCAAGGTTGTTATACGCAAGTGCAAAGACGCATACAAAACTAGAAGTGGAGGCACTGCGTAGTTACCGGTGTCTACATAATTGTGATCACGTCCAAACACAGCGGATGCACGAATGTGTGACCAGATTCGCAATGTCGCCTTCAAAAGCCTTCACAGCAACAGTTGCTGGTCAGCTTCGCGATCGAACAGATATTTAATCGAACTTGTGCGGATTAAGATCGTGCCGTGTTAGAAATATTAATATACAAAAGTAACAAACTGGTTTAGAATTCAAACGTTCGTTTGAGACCGTTTGCAAGTTCAGTTTTATAGTATATCTTGTGATTTGAATAAGTAAAAACGGCGCAATACGGAGACGAGGCCATGACTGCGTGGACAATGTTTAGCTGGAGAAGATTGTATAATGGACGAGTGGGAGAAGGTGGCGAGGACAATAGAATAGAGCTGCCAGCGGACACGAGGCAGCTTGTGTATAACGTGTATATGTACTTCAGTCGGCGACCTGGAAGAACAGCTAAAGCAGCTCTTTCCAAGACAGCGAGAGCCACTATGTTACCGAGAGACATTGTTGCTGATATAATAAGAGAGAAATGTCGTGATTAAACCGGTACAGTTTTAATTAAATATTTAAATAAAAAAAACATAAATTAATTCTAGACTTTTATGATGAATCAGATATCTGATTAACAATAAAATACTATGTAGATAAACAATAATCATATGACTCTTAAGGTCTCCCTGAAATAGTTTTCTAAATAGTGATTTGTAGCTCATATTTAATTAACAATAATGTAGTTGTTTGAAATTTAGAATTCATTTGAAAATATAATAGTTATTATTCATATTTACACAATAAAACAGTTTAACTGTAAAACAATGATCTCATTGTTATTAAGTTTAGTTAAGAGATTTAATTAGGCATTATTTAGTGAATGTTACTTCATTATTATTAATACACTTTATGATAGAAATATATTTGTTTTTATTACTTATAACATCGTTGATTCATGACGATGCTTGAGGTCATGACGGTACAGAATCATTGTATTATTGGTTGTTGATTATAAATCAGGACGTCAAGTTTGTAATATAACTTTACTGGACCTCCGTATAACTATAAACGATTTTACAAGCAATAGTATAAGAGCACCAAGAATACGGTATTGGCGTAGGTTTTTATTTGTTAATTAACGCTGCTGTTTTAGCAATGAATGCCAGATAATATTTGCATAACTTGCATAATATTAGTGCAAAGAGCTACTAAAAACTAGCTGTGCTGCCCCCTATTTTGATGGCGTCGTTTTATAAGAATATATTCAATTTTCAATGTAAAAATACCATTTATAAATCATCAATAATGATAGGGTTAAGTTAATTATATAGTACAGGAAAGTTACGTGGTTATGCTTATAAAATTATATCAACATTATTATAAGCGTTGATTAGTGTTGAATTATTGACTTGTTATCCTAGTTGACATAAAACAGATGTGCATAAAATAATTAGGCTTACTCAATCAATGCTACATAACATATCTGCCGATGATTAATATACTGATTCTTGATATTCTACAATAGGCGCATTGTAACACTATAATCACAGAACAAGAGTCACTCTTTATAAACAAAACTCAGTGAATTATGGACTTTCTTGAGGCGAGATTAGGTTCCTTACTTCCTGCTTTGGTTGGTTATTGGCACTGGTGGCAACACCACAGCTGTACTCTAAAACTGTTTTCACTGGGATCCCGAGCCAAGTGCAGATGCGGGTGGCACCAACTGCGGCTAATTACTCCACTGCACTGACTATTTCAGGCGCGCGAACATACGTGTAATACTAACACACTCTGATTCATAGCAACACAGCTTTGAAACTTTCAACACCTCTGGAATCGTTCAAGGTTAATCAGTTGAGTACATTTAAAACAACGAAGAGCAAATCAACCCGAGTCTTGAAGAGTATAGTTTTTCATTCAATTGATGTCACTTCACTATCGATGAGAAACTCTTCTAATTGCTGTAGTAAAATGTTTGAAATTCTATCCATTAGCATACAAGATATAGCATTGAGCGCAAAACTGTTACCTCTAAATAGTATCCCAATCAATATTCCACAAAGTAATAGACGTAGCAGTTTTTCCGTCTGCTAATTTAATTGACCAGTTTCCATATAACGAATTATTCCTGCGTACCTACTTACATACTTAAAATTAGCATTTGATGAACCATGACTTGATAAGGTCCCTCCGAAAATTTATGTACATATTTTATATACATACCCAAGTAGCACAAAACACCATTATATCAAACTTATAATAGCACGAGTCCAAGCGTTAAGCATTATAATAAAATCGTATATCAACCGTATTTCTTTTAAACGACTCTTATACGTAAAATTTGAGCCCCCCCTTTGTACGACTTTAAGCTTTATAAAAGCTGTGCAATAGCACTACAATTTTTGTATAATAGCATTAATAAAGTCGGGTAAAAGCATTCTAATAGCCACAAAAAGTTCAATTAGCACCTTAAAGTGTTAATTGAACTTTTTGTGACTATATTACAATTGATATGCGTAAATCAAATTATAATACGTTAATTTAATGTTATAAAAATGCTTACTGTTTTATTTCCTTTGTAAAAAAAAGTATATTTAATAGATTTTAAAAATATATATTCGGTTTAAGTTAT